ACAAAAACAATATAAAAAATCCATTAATATCATCTAACATAAAATCTGATGGATATATTCGTTAAACCGTGAAATTCAAAGAAGCCTAGTTACAACTTATTTCAAAAACACGCCGTCCCAAATAATGCACGGTTAACGCTCGAATTCCCAATCGTATCGATTTATCCGCATCGATTATATCGAGCAGATACACATGTCGAAAACTGTACCGATAGCCAAATAAACTAGCAAACCACATCGATTACCTGTCACTGGCAGCCTCCCCAATGACCGCGGTCCCGCCAAGACCGTTCCGATATCACGCTCAATACATATCATATTCGATACACGATACTTGATATTATGAAATATTATCACAAATTTATTTTGAGAAGAAAAAATAGTAATTCAACTCTTCGGGTGTAGTGTACGTTTTTTATAAAAATTGTTAATTTAGATACAAGCGGAAATCTAAAGTGCGTAAAATTGTTGCATTGTTACATCACTTTATCAATATTAATAACAACCAGAAAAAGACGACCATGAGTGCTATATCTAAGACGCCTCTAGGCTTCCGGCTCGATTCTCCGCTCCAGTCTATTATTTTGCCATCAACGTTCTTCGCGTCCTTTTTGAACCATACTGTTATTGTTACCTATATGTAACGTCATACGTGCTAGACATAAAATATCCCAGGACGGATCGAAAATGCTTTAATAAAAGGAAAACATTAAAAAATAAACAGACAATATCATAACTACACATAGAATATTAAAAATTAATCTCGTAAGTCGTTACACATCATTGTGAATTCGTGCTTTCCCCTACGCTCCCCTCGCACTATCATCCAAAGCCCGGTATCAGATGGCTCACGGGTAAAGTAACAATGAAAAATGTTGCTATAGAATTTATTAATTAATATAAAATTGTTATTTTAGTATTAAAAAAAACTAATGTTCCGATAACATGACTATTAAAGACAACTTAAAATTAAATTTGCAGAAATCGACCCTTATTATAATAATAATAAAATCAACCCTTGCACGATTAACGACAATATTAGATTCGCCACCGTTCATAACGTGGTTAACATTACAATGAAAAACTTTACCTTGATGATGAAAGTTTTCTACACTTTTAATAAGAAGCCCATTCATAGCATACTTTCGTCAGAGGGTGAAAAGGGGAACGGCCTTATCGCTATAACTCGTGACACCAGAAAATTAAAAGTGCGCCGTCACGATTTGGCTATCTTAGAAAATAGGGTGACTGTGCTACTACAAAGCTTTATTAATTGGTACTCCGACTGGGCTGGACATCTTTAAAATGTATTCTCGACTTCGAATTTATATTTTCTTTCATTTTTAAGTAAATTTTAAACTTGTTCAAAGGAGAAAGGCGGAGTTATTTGAGTCAGAAAGTTTTTGCAAGTAATTAATCCACTCAATATTAGATAGAGATACATTAGGGCTATGTACAATCTTGGATGTACGACTACAACTCTACAAAGTTGTGTTGAAACTTAATTTAGCTAGACTGGTTTGCGGTCACTGTTGAAAAGTTTTAGCCAGCTCTATACTAATGGAAAGCGAACAAAATCACTAGAAACTCAGTTAGAAATGTAGGTATTTGTGAGTCGTGCAACTCAAGCAATTTGTGCAATTTTACTGTCAGCACCAGAGGCGCCTAAAATCGAAAACTGGTGTAACCATTAGCGAGGTAGGTATTTCCAGCTAGACTTAACTTATCACGAAAAATCACTCAAATGTCAGTTTGCGGTAATTTAGATCCCTTTCAATTATTTTTCAATATAATGGTTTTTTTGGAACTATAATCAAAGTTTTAACGAACTCAATTTTGGTTAGGTATCTATGGCAACCCCCACCACGACAAGATGAACGCTCATTGGGGGGATACATTTTTTACCTGCTTTATTATGTGTATAAATGATTATTTGGAATTATTTAAAAAAAATATTTTAAACAATAATTCATAATTTTATTTTAATTTAATACTCTAATTTATGCTTATTATTATTTAACATAAACGTACATAAAGACGAAAAAATTGAGCACTCGTGTCTCGGGTATATGGGAACTAATTTCGATTACCTACTAAACATTATAATTATGATTGTCTTAGTGCCCCTATGGCCCATAGGTCAACATAAACATTCAGGCCATATTATCAATGATTAGGTTACTCTAGTGGCTGTTTACGGAACTTAAGGCAAAAGTTTAAAGTAATGCTTACTATTACAATAAAAGTTTTTATTTCTTTTATGAAAAGTCGGCACTTTGATTTATTCATTCTACTAATATTATAAACGCGAAAGTTAGTAAGAATGTATGGATATATGTTTGTTACTCTTTCACGCAAAAACCACAGAATGGATTTTGATCAATCTTTACAATAATATAGCTCATACAGCAGAATAACATATAGACTACTTTTTGTCCCGGAAAAATGTATTATATGTATGATAGATTTGTTTTTGTTTTTCTAGAGACGAACCTGAGCGAAGCGAGGGTGAGCCGCTAGTTTACTATAAATATTTTACACTGACTTAATATTGACTTTATACCTCAAAATTAGTTCCGTGACATGCTAGTATACTAGAATAGTATTATATTATGATCAGTGCTAGTACGAAATCTGGTCAATCTGGTCATAAATATAAATGGAGATGGTTAAATACCTATACAATATTATATTATACAATATAATATTATTTATGGTAAGTACTGTTTTTATTCTCATTCAAACTTTTTACATCTTTATCGATGAAACCATCATTATCGATCTCGATCAAACTGAATCAATGTCGCACTCACTTTTCGCATCGCATTTAAAATTTTATACATGTTTTGCAAATTTTATAACTTTATTAAATATATGTATACTTCCGCTTAGAATCCATTACGTCCGAATTATTGAAGTGAAACTTCTTTAGGCGCGCCATGAGAGGAAAAAAAGGATTGGCGTTAAGATTTTTGAAACGGAAACGGTTACACTGAGCCGTTACATTACGGAAGTGACACTTCTTTTTTATACTAAAATATTTAAACAATAAATTAAATGAAAATACATAATCATAAAAAGTACTTCTGTCATTTATATTTTAAAAATATAAATAAAATATTGTAAAAATACATATACATTTTTAAATGAGCGATAGAATCTAATCAAATGAATATTTCTTTATACATTATAAATATATAAAAAAATTGCATCCCTGTGTTATTATTTATTTTATATATAATTTATTGAATCATTACAATGTTTGATTGAAGATTAGATTTTCTCCTAACACACTGTACTGTGAATAATAAAATATTTTTTTTATTTCAAATCGATAAACAATTTTTTTTAATATATAATAAATATGAAACGAAGGGAATAGAAATAAACGTATGTTTTTTTTAAATGTAAACGCCCACTTGAAGTTGGGGGTGATTTTCAGCCTCTCGAGACCATAAAACATACTTTTCTCGGAAATGGCTAAACATTTCAATTTATTTTTTTTTTATTTATTATATTACGAAGATTACAGTTTCATGGAAATCAAAAGATTATTCTAGAAATAAAAAATAAAAAAAACCAAGAAAAAGTTAAAAACCGAGTTTTTTTGCAAATTTTTCGAAAACTTTGAGATTATTGTAAAAAGTGTTATTTATAGAAGTTGTAGATTTCTACTAAACCTACAACTTTTGTACAAAATATTTTTCGATAGAACGTTACAGTAAAGCGGAAATTTTAAAAAAAACTATTTTTCAACTCTTTGCGTTCTGCCATTTCACGGGGGTAGCTGGCCATAGGGGGCATTTACGCATGTGAATTCCTTATATACCTACTAACATTTTAAAATCATAAAACTTCAGGTTTTCAATATATATATTCTTAAAAATAATATTATAATAATAGTATTAGATTCTAATGTTATATTATGTATATAAAGAATGCTTATTAATTTCAACGTTTTTCTTAATCTTTACAATACCTAATATGAATAAGAATTTATAATTAATAAAAATAATAATTAAAAATTAACAACAATGTATATAATAAAATAATTCATAAGTTAAACAATCATTTACAATATTTTTATTTAATTGAAGTAGTTTTTTTCTATTTTATATTCCATTTTTAGTGTAGATATAGTAGGTACCTAGTACCAAAGTAAGAAGAGGTCAAACAATAATAAACATATATTTTATACGTGTCGAATTGAGAACCTCCTTTTTTTGAAATCGGTGAATCAAAACTATATCTCTCGCTATGCTGTCCTCGGGAACCGATGACAGTGATAACCTGTTAAAATCATGTATTATCTACTGTGATCACGCGAACATGAACGGAAAGGTATATATATGTGAACTATTGGAACTAGATAGTTTCGCGAACATGTTTCGAGAACATAGTTTATGAAAAGGAACTATTCCATGTTCAATCTACTCCGGGACCTAGTTTGCATATCTCTACACATTGGATACACGCACTCTTGAATTTTTTTAATATTAGCATTTCAAAACTAGATCTAATTTTATGTTTAAAATATTGCTAGCCAATGAAGCTCTCTTCAATGCTAATTATTATTGATTTTACATCATCAATTATTACCTGAATGTATACCTATTTTCAAATACCTTTTGTAAATAATTTCTGTCCTAGACTTAAATTTAAAACATTATTCATTTAAAATATAAGATATTTTGAACAACAATAAACACATTATTCCTAACAGTTATTGATTCGAAATTATCGGTGAAATTTAAATCGGAATTTGAGAAAAGTATCTTTTAGTGGACAACACTATACGACGCGCCGCTTGCTAATGTCAGATTTTGCTTTCATCTTATTCGCGAAAACATCTAATTACCAGTTAATATTTTATTATTTACCATGAATCGCTTTAATTAAAGTGAGTTATTTATAGTTAGAGCTCTTAAATACCATTTAAATTGTGTAAATACAAAACTAATTCAAGTTTTATTTTAGATGCGATCAAAACGTGGATAGAAATGGACCAACAATTTTCATTGTCTTGGAACAATTTCCACGGGAACCTTAGTAAAGGTTTCGCCGGTTTATTGGGTAATGGTGAATTTGTAGATGTTACTATTGCTGTAGAAGGTCATCTATTGCAGGCACACAAAGTTATACTATCAATATGTTCGCCGTACTTCAAAAAAATGTTCCAGTTGAATCCATGTCAGCATCCAATTGGTATGTACCTAATCCTATATTATTATAAACGCGAAAGTTTGTAAGAATGTATGTATGGATGTATGTTTGTTACTCTTTCACGCCAGAACGACTGAACAGATGTGGATGGAATTTGGCACATAGATAGATTATAATCTGGAATAACACAAGGACAACTTTTTATCCCGGAAAAATATACGGTTCCCGAGGAATTGATTTGTTTTTCTAGAGGTGAACCCGAGAGAAGCGAGGGTGAGCCGCTTGTTAGAAATGTAAATACTCGATTTAAGATTTCAGTTAATAAAATATATTGTACTCTGTTATTTTATATTGCAGTAGTGTTAAGAGATGTCACACACAAAGCAATGAGAGATTTATTGCAATTTATGTACCATGGAGAAGTCAGTGTAAAAAGAGAAGATCTCACTAGCTTTATAGGCACAGCTGAAGTTCTGCAAATTAAAGGCTTAACTAATAAGGAGGTGAGATGTTTATGATGTTATGTATGTATAAATATTTGTCAACATAATATATATTATTATAATTACAAATTAACACTTGTAAAATTTTTGAATACTTGACCATAATTATTACAATACATTATACAATTATTGATGAAAATATTTTTGTATAAATTATTTGTTAATATTATTAATATGTTTACCTTTAAATTTGTAGACTGAAGAAGAATCATTTGATACTGAAAAAGAATTATCAAAACAAAGTATAGCTCAGGATAGTCCAGATGCAGAATCTAGTACTTCTGACATGTATGATTCTGTTCCAAATGAAGTATCGGAAAACAATGATATAGAAATATTAAAACAAAGACAGTTCATTGAAAAGTTACAAAGGCTAAGTAGTCTAAAAAGAAAGTCTGAGGAATATCTACAAAAAAATTATTATTCTGAAATAGTGAACACAGAAAAAAGACCCAAAATATCTGATAAACTCACAAGTAATAAATCTAATATTTTACAAACTAGTTTTGACAATATTCAAAGTATATATGAAGAAAATCCAATAGACATTACAAAATCATTGAATCCAATTCAAAAACAGGGTTCAGATAAAACAGATAGTAAAACCCATACAACAGAAAGTGAGATATCTTTAAAAGCAGAATGTGATGACAGTGATATTATTGTGTCAGACCCTGCTGTCTGTACAACACCAAAAAGTTATGAAAGTTCTAGAGATATTAAAAAAAACTTGATAATACCCTTGGACTACCAGTCACCACAAGAAAGTAAGTATTTTTAACTGTCTTTAATACAAAAATATACTCTTTGCGGATAAAATTGCATTTGAAATTGTATGCTCTAAAACTTAACTTAATTATAAACATACACATTGTAATAAGTAGTTCGTGCATTTATTTTATTTATCATTACAACTACCATATCTTCAATGAAATTTTATTCTGCAATGAGTTTTATAGTAATTAGATATATGTATGTTGCTTACTAATGCTTTGTTTTCTTTTGTAAATAGGAATAGAGATTGTGTTGAAAATGCAATCATTTGTTAATTTTTCTAGCACATGTTGTTTTCTGTTGCAACCCTTTGATGCTATGAAAACACGATGGCATTTTCAACATTGTCAAAATTCCCAACCGATTTGTTTCTTTGTGAATTATAATGAAAATGGCCATCGTGATTTCAGATTGTACCAGTTTAAACTCGTTATTTATGGACCTTAAGAATTTAGTTAACGGTAAAGTGACTAACGCTGTGAAGTCTGAAGAGTTTACAAGATATGCAATGGAACACCGTCTTGTTACCATTCCTCAGAAAGAAGATGGTAAAAAGAAGTATCCACAACGGTCTTGCAGGCTTTGTTGGCGGATAGGCAAACGGCGCGATACTAGATTTATGTGCAGTGCTTGTGAATTACCCTTCTGCAAGTCACCATGTTTCGAAATACATTTTAATGATATGTTCAAAGTATCACAACTGCAAGGAGATTATTATGCACCTTAAATTATAAGTTATGCTTTTCCTCCTAAGAGGCCTTAGTAGTAAGAAAAATATATTTTTATAATCACAAGTGATATGAAACAATAGAGGAATCATAGATTCAATAAAATTTGGGACCAAATTGACTATGAAGATATTTTATGAAGAAACAAGCTTAAAGTTACTATTATAAATATATATATGCATTTTGAAATTAGCACAATAATGTTGGTAACCTGTGATATTTAGAGTCTACTTGTGCCAATACTGCTTTATTTTCTCTATATAATGTGCCATCAATCCTCTGCCATATTTTCTAAAGACTTTTATTGCTCATATTCTAGTCTATTTATTGTATTATATAAGTTTTTTTATAATAAGAATTTGAAATTTGCATGAGATGATAAAATCCTTTCCAGTGACTTATGATAGTGATCTCTGTATCAATGTAATGTAAACGTAATACAAAATTTTCTCACATTCCCATATGTGATAACTATTTTAAGAATTCGGCTAAGATAATGTATGGTGGAAATATATTTTTGTAATACTTGCGTGATGTTTGACATTATTGAGTGTTTTATATAAATAAATCATGTATACACAGTTTGTCTGTTTAATTTCGAAACCTAATGTAATAAAATACTTAAATATTTCAAATTAATGTGTTCAATTTTAAAAGCAAAATTAAATAATGTATTTTTTTTTGCAGATGCTCTATCTCTCGTTATAAATGGATGTGAAAACCAGTTGCCAGCACGGTACAAATATATCTATAGTAGGAAAGGACATAAGCAATTAGTGCATATGAATTTTGTATACACAAAGCATTCAACAACCCACGGGAAAACGTCATGGCGATGTGTTCAATATTTCTCTCTAAACAGGTGTCCGGCAACTGTTGAAACAATTGATTCTATGATATATGCGGTCAATCATCAACACAATCATGAAGACTGCTATGAGAAACTATCAAGGAATAATATTTATGAAATGAGTACTTCTCCAAAACAGTAATTTATAGTTTTATTCTATACATTGACAAAGAATGGTTGAATTAATGGTTAAATGAATAATGAATGAACACCATAAGCAAAGTGCTAGATGGAAATACCAAAAGTAAAATCAAAGTCAATATAATACATACCATTTATAACAATGAATGTTTCATATGGTAAGTGATTTAGTAACTAAATAAATCAAAAAAGTTAATTGAAATTATTGAAAATATAGAAAATATAAAAAATATGGTTTACCAAAATAAAATAGTACTTACGTTATATCAATGTAAACTGAACCATGGTTAGAATGTTGATGAAAAGTTGATAAACAATGTTTCATAAATTATTATCAACTACTTTAATAACTTACCTTGTAAAATTTATTTTTATCTTATCTTGAATGAAACAAAAATCTCATGAAAAACTCTAGCAATCTTAATACTCTCAATTAAAATGAAATATGAAAATAATATTAAAACAATAACAACTGTGCCAAATATCCAATTATTTGCTTTGGCTTAAAAATTCAACTTGTTTATATTTGAATATTATTAATTTAAAAAATGTAAAGTTCCTATATCTTATATAAGAATAGTATAGCGCTGCGTAATTATTACGTTATATATTAATAATATATTGTAAATATTAAAATGTATCAATAATACTTATTTTGTAATGTAAAACTCATATGTTCATCTAGTCATAGACAGGCGAAATTATAAAAATCTCAACATTCTCACATTATGTTACAAAAGGACATTATCATGACTTTGTGCATTCTCTTTGGAATTTTAAAAACCTAAAACATATTGGAACTCTTGTAATTTAAATGATAAATAAAATTATTGCCCAATATATTGAAGATTTTGGTATTAAAAAATTGTATGCATAGCATTGTGTGAGAATGAACTTATTTAACAAAGATAAATAAAAAAAACCAATGTATATAAAATATTTAATTATTAATTATAGTATGTATATTTACAAATAACATGACTAAAATAAATTAAGTTTTTAACATTTTTGTGCACTTATTATCAAGCAACGCAGCCATCCTCTTCCTTGGTCTATGCTTTTTGCTGAATCCAACACCTGAAAAAAAAACAATATAAAAACTTGTTAAACCCTTGAATGGAAGATATCATAATATAATAATTACTTTGCTATTGTCTATCCAGATTTTTATTAATGACTAGCGACTAACTCTCGCTCTGCTCGGGTTCTTCCCTATTTACGTTTTCAAGTTTAGTATAGAGTTCTGAGAGATGAGATATTTTCCCACAGTAAAAAGTATCATATATATTGACCCGAACAAGCAGCTATTATCATACCAAATTTCGTCAAAATCTGTCCAGTGGTTTTCTCGTGAAGCGGTCACAGACAGACAGGCATGAATTCTTAAAACTATACATTCCGCCTCTGTATCGATGATAATGACTTTTTCAATAAGAATTTCCAAAAAATATATAATGTACAGATTCGACTCAGAATTTTATTATATGTACTAGCGGCCCTTGCTTCGCTAGGGTTCGTCGCTAGAAATAAATAGATATGAATAATTATTAGCCAGCGTTAGCCATATAAAATTTAATTTTTTCTGTTAATAATATTGACATTAATATTTATATGATACTAACGTCACTCAATTGTTTTGCCTTTCCAGAACCTCTCCACTAACACTTAAACTTTATGGTATTAGAGTTCAAATTGGAGTATAGAAAAGTGTTGTGTTTAGATTTTTCAGGTAATTTTTAAAATTTTTCTCTCCATAAGAACCATCCTCGTACTTCAAGGAATATTCTAAAAAAAAAAGCGAAATCGGTTCAGCTGCTCTCGAGATTTGCGCTTAGCAACACATTCAGCGATTCATTTTTATATTATAGATATTGACATTTGACTTATCTATTCAGACTGTTTTGATTTTTGTAAGGTTCGATTCTTAACTGAAATTAGTGGAAATAGCAGGATTAGATTTTTAATAATGCCTTCATCAAAATTCGTCTGGTGACGTCTTTTGGCCCTATTTTTCTTTTTTTATTGTCAAAATTTAGAATCGGCTTAGAAAGTTAACTTACGAATATCAACATCGGGTTTTTCTTTTAAACCAAAAGACTTGGCTACTGCTTCCAAATCCATACTAAGTAAATTGAAGACATGTTTCAATTTCTTCACTTCAAATGCTCTTGTGTAACCTTCAAAGGCCTCCACTGCCATTTTATGAAACTCTGGATCTTCCATAGCCTTGTTTATCTAGAAAATGAAAATGAGTATTTTATGTAACTTTTAAATTTTACTAGAGGACCCGACAGACGTCCTACCCGAAAGTTTGCTTTGGTCCATTAGTGATAAAAAAAATCTAGAACCTAACTGCCGCGCCACCTACCGGGTCAAATTGTGAATCTTAATCATCCAGGGAAATTCACAACACACAAAAAAAATCATCAAAATCGGGTCAGCCGTTTAGGAGTTCAGTGATGTAGACATACTGATGATAGGAGTCCAAAGTGTGGTGTCCGACCGAAACTAGTTTTTGAGCAATTTCAAAAAGGAAGAAGTACTCTAGTGTAGGTTATCTTCACTAATTATGAATCAATTGTTATAATTCTTTTTTAATGAATAGATTATATCTCTTAGGTGTTCCCGTTAAATTTCTGTTTACTTCATGTAATTACAAAGTAGAGATTAAATTCGTAGAAATAGTTCTTAATAAATTAATTTAGTATACCTATTTATTCATATTTTATATGGAATTTGTTTTTTTTTTATTTATTAAGATTCACTCACAGTGGTAATTACATTATTACAGTAAAAAATTATGCTATTTTACAAAGTTCTTATTGCTAAATACATTACCTTTTAAGGTGAATACCGCATGCAAAAATAGGCGTGAAATAGTTTTATATAAAAACAACAATTCTATGATCTTAAGAAATTAAATAAAACAAGAAATCTAAACCAATAAACAAATCTACCACATAAATCGAGATATACTTAACAAATCAAGAATATTAATTATTTATTTAGAATATATTTTTTTACATCTTTGCGAAACTTTGGCAGCGAGTCTCTGAATAGGTCCAAGCATTTATAATCGTTTATAATTTTACATAATCGCGACACGGGTGAATTGTTCCCCAAAATAGTTCTACGAGAAGGCTTTACAAATAAGTTCACGGGTATACATGGGCATCTAGGGATTCTAAAATTAAACATAGACACAAGAAACGGGTTGTTATAAACGCTATTAATACTTTTCTATTCGATAGGTATGCCTTACAAAGAGAAAACCAAGATTTGAATGAGATTTTCAATGACGGATTCAGGCGAAACAGACACTTATCATACCTGTTAAGAAAAATTGATAGAGGATAGCAACACAATTTCTCTAACTAATTTTAACAAGACTAGCCGGATATGATTTTTAATTAAAAGCTAGTTTTATTTTAACAAATCAAATAATGTCATTGTATTTACTGTAATTTTATTTATACAAACCTTAGGCCACAAATCATTATATTTATCCCACAGCTCGTATTTATCAAGGTATATTTTAGCTTCATTCAAGTAAGTAATAAATTCTATTTCCTCCGGTCGCAACAATAACACTGCACGTCCTTCAGACCCCAAGCCTCGTGCAGTTCTGCCCACTCTGTGAATATATTCCTGAGAAATGTAATTTAAATTTAAAAAATATATAATTCGTCGACGTCCCACTGCTGGGCACGGGCCTCTTCTCAATACAAAGGAAGATTAGGCCATAGTCCACTACGCGGACTTCATTTGTCTTTCGAAAACTTGCTAGGTTTCCTCAGACATGCAGCTTTCCTCACGGTGTTTTCCTTCACCGTAAAACAAGTGGTAATAAAGTTGGAAATGATTCACACATGAAAATATCAGAGGTGCGAGAACCGGGATTTGAACCCGCTTCACTCGGTTTCTCAAGTGAGTGCTTACCACTGGCCTACCACTGCCTATATAATATAACTAAATATTTATTAATATAAAATTGCTTCGCTTAACTGACTTATCAACAACAACAAACGAACAACGAAATTTGTACATAATATTATTCTAAAATACAACGCACATTTGTATCAGATGGTGGGTCAAACTGAACAATCCAGTCTACAGCCGGTATATCCAAGCCTCTCGCTGCAAGATCAGTGCAAAGTAGTGCCATCTTGTCAGCATTATAAAAGCTGTCTATAGTAGCTGTACGGTCTGCTTGATTCATTTTTCCCTAAAAAAATCAATATTATAACATTATAAATACAATAAAATATAACATAAATTTCAAATGATATTTTTAATCAACACTGAAATATTTACATTAACGAAATGAATTCACTCAACATGAATGAAAATAGACATATATTATAATAATATTTACTCACATGGATACATAACACTGACATATTACAATATTTCTTGAAAAATTCATAGTGAAACACTACAGACTTACAACTGGAGAAAAATATCATAATTTTTGAGTTTTGAGTTTTTTTCAACAGTTTGTGCAACCAATTTAGCCGATATTCTGTTTTACATGTGACATACCTGTAAAGAAAATATTAATTATAGTGATAACTACCTTACATTACAAAATACATAGATTGTTTCTTAGTATTATAGATTACGGCAGAGGTTATTTTCAGATGATTTTTACTACAATAACAATAGTAGCTTTCCATACTAGTTTCTTTTTTTCTTTTTAATTTACTTTATAATCTGTATATACTTTGATCTGTACTTTTATAAATGATGATGATGATGATGTTCTCTTAGCCGATTCCGGCTATAGCGGCCGATCTCATTGAGACTAGCCAACTGCGCAGGAGATATTATAGTACACAAGTGTACGCGCAGACACAAGTGCACTCTCTATTCCTGTAACTCTCATACTCCGGTGGGACGACTACTCAACACGACCAGTGAGAGTGAAGGCGCAGGACCGACGGCTTTTACGTGCTCTCCGAGGCACGGGGGTGAAACACCGCCAACTTACCAACTCCGGGCTGTTACTGAGACTTACTATACAGACAGTCTCAATAACTAAACTTGGCCCGACCCGGGACTCGAACCCAGGACCTCCGAGTGTGCAGCCGTACATGCTAGCCACTACACCACCGAGGTAGTACTTTTATAAATATTACTCATATTAAGAGAGACTTCATCATAAGCAGTTTGTAATGCATTTTCGGGCAGTAAATCTGGTTTCTCCACATATGAGAATCATGCAACATATTTAAATATTACAACATTTTCTTTAAAGTACACTGTCTGTTTAGAAGTAGGAAATATATAGTTTATGCATTGTGGTTCCAGTAAGCATTTAGATGCCTCAATCAATACAAAGAAGACTACTCTACAAGTTCCAGACATCATAAGTGAAGTAATTATAGACTGTAGTTATTAGTTAAACAATAAAAAATGTTCACTAACCCTTGTTTAAGACCTTCTACGGTAGCTCTGTCATTATCTTCATTGGTGTTTATTGCCTGTACTTCCTCTCTCATAGCTGATTTTATAAGTGCATCTGTTGTTTCTGATTGTGTTGCACTAAACAACATTGTTTGTCTCTTTTCTACAAGTAATAATGAACCAATTTTATTATATTAGACATAATGTGTATGTATGTATTCAGCCTTTTTTTTAATGGCCTACTGGGCAAAGGCCTCTGGGGATCAGGCCACCAGCTGGCCAAATGCAGGTTGGCGGACTTCACATGTCTTTTAAAAACTTACTAAGTTCTCTCAGACATGCAGGTTTCCTCACAATGTTTTTCTTCACTTATGATATGATGTGTAAAGCAAATAATAAAAAGAATAAAATACATACTAGGAAGACGGTTAACTATCTGCTTTACATCCTCTTCAAACCCATACTGGAATATTTTATCAGCTTCATCTAATATTAAACAGCAAACTTGTCTATAATCAAACTCTTTTGTTCTCATGTGATCAAATAATCTTCCTGGTGTAGCAACAACAATGTGAACCCCTAAGATAAATAGAAAAAAATCAAATGAGTAATCAATAATAACAAATATTTTATAGGCAAATAATAAATTATAATTCTAACAAATTTATAATAAATAAAAAATAAACTAACCCTTTGCAAGTTCTACACTTTGAGCTTTTCTATTTTCTCCACCAATAATTAGTGCTGCAGTTACTGATTCATAAAATGAAATAATATTTTGCAATACTGTAAATGTTTGTAATGCTAGTTCCCTTGTTGGTGAAACTATAATGCAAAATGTACCTAAAATACAATAAAGATGCTGGAGATTATAATACCATTACTTAATTTTAAAAAGCCATTTTTGGAGTTCTTACAAAATGTATTACAATTAACATTATACTTGTTTACCTTGTTTCTGTTCTTTTAATAATTTAATCACTAATTCAATTGCTGGTATTAAAAAAGCTAATGTCTTCCCAGAACCTGTCTTTGCTGTAGCAACTAAATCATCCCCATCTAAAGCTTTAGGCAATACTTCTGCTTGTATGTCAGTCATTAGTTTGAAACCCATGTTTTTGATTGCATTTAGAGTTGGTTTTGAAATCTTTTCACGAAGATGTTTAAATTTTACTTTTTTAGGTTGTTCAGTCATTATAACTATTTTATTTTGTTTATTTTGATTTGGTTATATTAATCAATGAATCAGTCAAGAGTTAATTGTTAATTTAAGTTAACATGATAGGTTTATAATTTCACAAATATTAAACAAATGAGTTAACCTAGCTCACAGTTTTTTATCCAATACTTAATATAATACAATTAACAGGGAAGTTTTCAGTTTTCATTAATTCACAAAGTTTAAAATTTTTGAATTAGTTATTTATTTTTAATATTTATTTAAATTCAAAACAATTTGACCCAGCGCGCACGAGAGACTTTTATCCATAGAGTATATTGCTACATATTTTTATCAAAGTGACAAACAAATCTGTCACTGTCACGTCGGTGCTGCCAACACTTGAAATTTTATCCCCCTAAAAGTAATTTTAAGACCCCCTAAAAGCCCCTAGTGACAATTTGAAAAATATAGGTTTTTATCGAATTTAAACTTTTTAATTTTTAAATATATATTTTTCATTTTAAATGATCAAAAGTAGCGTAAAAAACTTATTTATGGTTATTATTATAAATAATAATAATAAATTCCATAGAAAACTTAAAAAAACATAAAAAACGGGATATAATTTTTTCAAGTCTAACCGAAACTTTGTAAGCCCATAAACTAAGACCCTAAATATTTTTGCCCCCTAAAAAACTATATAAAGCACAAGCCCAAAGAAGAAGATTTAGATAAAACATTATTACCAATAAAATTTTAAAATCCTATGACTTCGCTATTTATCGGTACAATTTAAAAGTATTTGTAGAAGATATTTCTATATAGGAAGTAAGTTATCTTTTCATTCGGTATCAAATTTTCAATTTTTCAAAATTTGGCTTAATTAAAAAAATGGATCAAAATGAGAGAATCATCCGCGGGTTATTGAGAAAAAAGATTTCTAGAGCACAGATTAGAAAGACTTATTTCGAAACATTCTGAGGATTTGATGTTTAACGTCAATTTGACGTTTTATTATACCACGCTGAAAGCGGTGTGCGTTCATTCAATCATTGTAATAATATATAAAAAATATTAATTCTTAAAATAAATATATAATGCCAACGCCAGATAAGATTTTAATGCGCAAAATAAAAAAGCGTGAAAGGAAGAAACTAAAACTGATATCCCAAAAGACAAATGGCACACAGGAAGATCACACGGGTAACCTCTATTAATTTATATTTTTGCGATATCTACTTAATTATATATTTTGTTATTACATTTTGTATACAAATGTGATACGCCTATTAAATCTTTTATGATATAGTTTTTTTTTCAAATTGTATACCTAATAAATATTTTTTTAGTAACTACTGAAGTGGAAGCTGTTGATGCTGTTTCTAATGAAGCAAAGAAAAGGCCAATAGAAGCAATTGAAACTAACAATGTTTCAGTGCCAAAAAGTAAGTAAAATTACCATATGCCTTATAATGTCTAAAAGAAAACCTGAAGTACATTAAAAATCATAAAATGTTTACTTGAACTTTAATGTTTTCATGGCGGCGATTTAGAATTGGGGACTTGGCCCCTAGCGGAGTGGGTGGTATTTCTGGATAAGGGACGTGATAGAGAGTCGAAATGTTAAATAAATTTTTTAATACAACAAAAGAGTCAAAAGTTATTGAGACTTAAAGTTATAACATTTCCATACATTATTTTGACATTACTACCATTTAGACACTTGGAGTCAAAACGTCACTTTCAATTGTCAAAATGATCTCCAGATGATTGTCTTTATTTGTACTTTGCGTGAAATTCGAATTTTCTAGTTTTCTAGTCATTTATGGCACTCGCCGGCCGCTACCGCGGCACGCTCGCTTCGCTCGCTCGGCTCGTGCGTTGTGGCAACTGTTCTAACCTAACCTAACCAAGATATGACGAATAATTAATAAATAATCTTAAATGTTCTAACCTAACCTAACCCAGATATGAGGAATAATAAATAAATAATCTTAAATGTTCTAACCTAACCTAACCCAGATATGAGGAATAATAAATAAATAATCTTAAATGTTCTAACCTAACCTAACCCAGTTATGACGAATAATAAATAAATAATTAAAAATATTCACAGATAAAAAAATGATTTTTTTTACTAAATGTACAATTGTAAAACAATATATTTTACATAAATCAAATAAAAAGTCATAAATGTATTTATAAAGTGAAAATAATATTTTTCTTTTTATTTATTTATTTATTAATAGTAATATTTTACCAACAGAAAAAGCAAAAATAATCAAATATAATCTGTTGTCATTTAAGCGGTAATATAAAACAAAGTGTCAGTTTTGCTTTTGTCAAAATGTAAGATCATTTTGTTTGTGTTGTGAAATTATTAAAATATTAAATACAATAAAGCATTAATTGTTGTGAAAATGTGTAATGTACATAAAAAAGGATGCGTACTATTCGTTAAAGGTATGTTTATCTGTTGTAATCACTTATTTAGGTAAAGAAATGTATGGAAATGTGTTAGATATGTTATAACTTTAAGTCTCAATAACTTTTTAGTCGTACGTTTCCTCCAAATATTTTTAATATATTTTGACTGTCTGTCACCTCCCCTATCTAAAAATACCACCCACTCCGAATGGTGGTAAAGAAATATATGAAAATGTATGGAAATGTTGTAACTTTAAGTCTGAATAACTTTTGAATCTTTTGTTGTATTAAAAAATTTATTTAACATTTCGACTCCCTATCACGTCCCTTATCCAGAAATACCACCCACTCCGCTAGGGGCCAAGTCCCCAATTCTGAATTTGTGCCGTTTTCATTTATGTCTTACTTTATAATGTATTTGTTCATTAAAGATAATACACGCTTTTTATAGAAAAGAAGAAGAAACAAAAAGCTACAACAAATACTGAACCAGAAGTAAAGGAAGAGCCTGCAGAAAGTGAAAAAAATGAGGAAAATAATAAAGTTGACAATGATGACAAAAATATTGACAATTCCCAATGTAAGTTATTGAAGTATCTTTAGTATAGCTAACCCTGCTTACAAACATTGGCTTTTTTTCATTAGTGACTTACTCTCACTTGGGTTCATCCCTAGGTGCCTAACAATAAAGTAGCTAAATGGCAATTTTTTTCCAACTTCAATTGAAGTTATTATGATTTCTGAGAGTAACCACATTATTATCAGAACAAAAATAGAGCATATAGTTTCCTATTACAGAAAGAATTTTCAGTGTTGGATCTGTAGTTTCAGAGATTACCCCCTATTTACATACAACACACAAATTTACAAAGTTTACCTCTTTATAATATTAGTTCAGATTGTAAAATAGAAAATGTTATAGATTATCTTAGAATAATCTTAGGGTACCTGGATGGGTATAAGTTTTTGTAGATAATTCGACACTGTCGTAGAACAATGTCAGATATGATATTACAACGAAATTGACTTTTTTGCAAAATTAGCTTTAATTAATAATAAACTATTGATATATTCAAGAAAAATTAAAATATTCCTAGTACTTTCGGAAATATTCAATTGAACAAAGTATTATTTCAAAATTGTTTCCAAGAAAATCGTCGCGAGTTCAGTAGCGCCACTGTCGCTCGACTGTCATCGCTCCGCATGCGCCGCACTCCGCGCGACGATCTTCACTAGTTGCGATGTTCGACGGCAAACCGGTCTTATTAACAACAATACATGATAGATTCTACATTGGCGTATTATTACAATATTTTTGTTAATTTTTAAAGATTTTAATACAAAAACGACCTAAAAATGTCTCGGTCACAAAAAATATTAAAGTTAGTGATAGATAAAGAAGAAATAAGTGACTATTTCGCCGAGCAGGACTCCAGAATTTCAAATAATTTAAACGAAAATACGGACAATCAAGGTAAGTTATTTTTATCAACATTTACTAAGTGCCTTTTATTATTTTTTCATACTAAAAACCGATTGGCTAACATTTTATATAGAATTATTCAATTTCCGTGTCGTATCTTAACAAACAACATTGTTCTATGGAAATGAAAAAAATTAAATTTATTTAATAAAAAATATATTTTGAGAATGTTTTCTTTATGTACTCTATTTATATTATTTATTTACCTCAGATATGGTATTTGACGTTTTTGGCGTCGTATGTTTCCTAGTTTCGTTTTTCACCCAAACTTATTTCAATTATACAGATTGTTTGAATACTTCCGGCGTTGTTCTTCGGAAACTTTATACATTTTTGATGTAGCGTATTGAGAACCAACTATGTTCTTCGGCATAAAATTATATAGGTTTTTGTTCAGTATGTTTGAATGCTAAATATAGATATATAAATGACTAGATCTTTTTATTTGAGACTTTTTTGTCTCAGTTAGACATATCTTTAAATATTTTACTATGTTACAGGCCTTGGAGTTGTAAAACCAGAATCACCATTACCCCCTGGAGCGGAAATTATAGTCGACCAATTAAGGGAAGTAGCGCAAGAAGTATTTGCAGATGGCGATGAAGATCAAAATTTAGTTGAAGACTTAACACCATTTGGTATAGAAGATGCCAACACCAGTTTTGAGGCTTCTCCTCCTGTGGTCATCGAAGAATTTGAGAACATTGTTGCCAGTACACCTAAATCACCCTTAACAATTCCTACTCCCATGCCTTCACCGACTAATAGTCACAAGACATGTAATGACCTATTTTGTGCTTTACACGATCACTGGACAGACGCAGTACCATCTTCACCAAGTACTGTAAGTGGACTAAGTTCTTTTTCTGAATCAGATACCAATTCAGTACTATCTCCAGGACGAAAAAAACGTACAAAAAATAGAGAATCATGGTCTGATGTAAAAAGGAAATGCTTAACGAATTTGGGTAAAAAATATGTTTCAAAGAGGGGTAAAGTTGTTGATGAAAAGGTTATGGGTATGCCTTGTAAATGTCGTTACAAATGTAGTGAGAAAATTACTAATGAACAAAGACTAAATTGTTTTAAAAGATTTTGGAGTCTTGGTAACAAAGAAAAACAGTGGGGATTTGTAGTTAAATTTTGTTTAAAAGTAAAGAAGCATCGATGTCTTAACACCGATCAACCTAATTTACGTAAATATACTTATAAGTACAGCTTACCAATAGCCTCTTCTTTGGACCCTTCTGCGTCTGACGTGATCGCAGTTTGCAAAACTATGTTTTTAAATACTTTGGCTGTGAGTGAAAGAATTGTTCAAACAGCTTTCCAAAAATTTGATGGCGTCTCTGATATATACATGGACAGAAGAGGACGTCATGCTAATCGTAAAATAGTAATAGATAGAGAAATGGAAAGAAGTGGTAGTCGTCCGAGCGTCGAGTAATAGACACATATATTTCTGTTCTTAAAGTTATTAATTCGTTTCAAGCAAAATTCTTAGTTATTAAGCAATAATTTTTCTATTACTATGTTTAGTTGTTGTGAAGTAAACAATGTGTGAAATCCTAGTTCAATCAGTGTTCTCTGTGTGAAGATATTTAGCAAAAACTTTAAAAAAATATGTGATAAACTGTCGTTGTTAACCTTGTTTAATAATCGGAGCGCGCGAGTGCTAATGAGCTTCGTATATAAAAAACACTAGTTCGTTGACCTCCATTGATGCAAATCTTTGCTAGTGTAATATTACTTACTAATTCGCCATCTCAAGATACATAGACTGTGGCGCAGCCGTAGAGTACGTGACAACACGCTAGCACACGTTGAGGGTTCAAATCCAAACTCTGCCAAGACATTTTTCTTTTTATTTTTGCACACAATTTTTATAAATTACATCATGGCAAATTTTGATTGTGCTGGATGCCCTAACGCACTAGATAACACCATGTCATTGCAATGTCGCCGATGCAATGATAAATATCATGTTGCGTGCACGCGAATTACAATGCAAGACTTTAGTGTGATGAGCTCGGAAATGAAAAGTTCATGGATATGTGACGTATGCAGATGTAAACAACCGAGAGGAGATCACTCCAACACACCAGTTCGTAACTCACCAATGGAAATGGACTTCGTAACTCAGCGTGTAAAAAGTCGTTCTACTTGCTCCTGTTTATCGGCTAACAATGTAAGAGAAATAATCAGAGAGGAATTACGCAATATTTTCAGTAATGATTTACACCCTAAAATTCAGGAAATAAAACATACTCTTGCCTCATTTGAAACCTCCTTGTCGTCATTAAGCCAGGATATAGATAAAGTTAAAACTGAACATGCAAATCAATCAGCACAAATGCAACAGATTATCAAGGAGAACGAAACTCTGCGAGCAGCTAACCAGACTATCATAACTCGTCTTACACAACTTGAACAGCAGACACGTGCTTCAAATATCGAAATCCAATGTGTTCCAGAAAACAGACAAGAGAATTTGGTCAACACGGTACAACAACTTGGCAAAATTATACAATGCCCGATAGCCCCAGAAAATATTCATTTCTGTGCAAGATTAGCGAAGATGAATACTAAAAGTCCTCGACCAAGATCGATATTAGTAAAGTTCAGTAGTCCTAGACTTCGTGATGAATTTTTAGCAGCTACTATTAAATATAATAAAAAAAATAGTACCGATAAACTTAGCACTAGTCATTTGGGAATCGCAAGCGCCAAGAATACTCCAATATACGTTGTGGAAAATCTTACACCAGAAGGAAAAATTCTACATGCTGCAGCTCGCTTTAAAGCAAAAGAGCTCGGCTACCGTTTCGTTTGGGTTCGTGATGGAAAAATATTTGTCAGAAAATCTGAAGGTTCAAACTACATCCATATACGAAATCATGATACTGTGAAAAATTTGTCATAGAGAGGCGCTAAATTTGTATACTTTTTTTTACTAAAAGGCACTTTACAGAATAATATTTCAATTTACTACCAAAACGTTAGGGGTCTCAGATCAAAAACAATTGATCTATTTAATAACATAGTTTGTAATTCATACGATATTGTAATTATGACGGAAACGTGGTTAAATGCGAGTGTTTTCGATTCTGAAATCTTTGATGATCGTTACATTGTATACAGACGCGATCGGGAGAGTAGTGGGTTTCATGCTTCAAAGAATGGTGGCGGTGTACTTATAGCCGTATCTAAGCAATTAAATTCTGAGCGGCTCTTTAATTTCGAGTCCGAGTGCGAGGATCTTTGGGTCTGCGTAGAAGTAGAAAATGTCCAAGGAAAATCCGAAAAGCTTTATGTATGTGCTGTGTATATCCCCCCACCCGTCCAAATACACATTCTTGAGCGCTTTATTAATAACTCAAGTCGAGTATTGGAATCACTCGATGAAAATATAATTATTGCTGGCGATTTCAACCTAAGTAGTATAACATGGTCTCTGGAGCCACATGGGCATCTTTGTGCAAAGCACTCCAACAGTTACCTACAAAATCTCTTAATAGACTTTCTCTCATGCAATGAATTGAACCAATTCAATCAAATCTTAAACTGTAAAAATAAGGTGCTCGATCTTGTATTGTCCAATATTAACACTGTTAATATTCTATCATGTCCTGATCCTTTAACATGTGTTGATCCTCTTCATCCGCCATTGGTTTTTTCAATGGATTTTACAAATCCGGTATCACTAGCCCCTAATAACACCATTACAAAATTTTGTTTTCATAAGGCTGATTATGAAAACATAATAAAAGGTCTAAATGAAATTGACTGGAGGGAAATTTTGGGTGAATGTCTTTGTGTTGACGATATGGTTGCACTGTTTTATGATGAAATTAGTAAATTAATACGGAAATATGTACCTAAAACGAAATCACGCAGTCATAAATATCCAGTTTGGTTTACTCCATGTCTGATCAAGTGCATTAAAGAAAAATATAAATATAGGATGAAAGTTCGCAAATTTAACAATCCTCGCGATAAGCTTACCTTTGATTTACTGAAAAAAAGATGTGAGGTATTGTTAGCATACTCCTACGCTAAATATATAGAACGACTTGAACTTTCCTTAAAATCAAACCCAAAATTAATTTGGTCGTTCTTAAAACAAAAGAGAGGCAATAGTTCGTATCCTTCAAAAATTAAAAACGACAATATATCTGTTTCCAATGGAACGGACATTTGCAATGTTTTCGCTAATTATTTTTCGTCAGTATACAGTTGCAATAATACTAATCAAAATTTTAATAATAACTCTAATCTTATGAACTCTTGTAGTAATGTGTATCTTGATTGTATATCTTATACAGTGGACCAGGTTTACAATGTTTTAAAAAGACTTGATATTAGGAAAGGAGCTGGAGCAGATGGTATTCCATCGATATTTGTCCGTAATTGCGCTAGTGCGTTGGCTTTGCCACTTGCATTGATTGTCAACAGATCTCTTAGCACTAGTACATATCCAACCTTATGGAAAAAAGCTCTGGTGTTGCCTTTGTTCAAAACCGGTGACAAAGAGGCGGTTAAAAATTATAGACCTATCTCCATTATTTCTGTTTTTGCAAAAGTATTTGAGCTACTTATATGTCCCGTTGTTTCATGGCACTTTAAAAAAAATGTTGCATCTGAGCAGCATGGGTTTGTGAAAGCTAGATCAACAGTCACTAACCTTGTTTCCTTTGTGGAAGACATTACTGAGGCTCTTGATACTGGCAAATCCGTTGATGCAATCTACACAGATTTCAGTAAGGCCTTCGACAAGGTTGATCATTCTATTTTACTTATGAAACTCAAAGGTATAGGTATAGCAGGCCCGTTGCTGGACTGGTTCAAATCGTATCTTTCCAATCGGTCATCAACTGTTGTCGTTAATGGTTATGCTTCTGAACCGTTTTTTGCCTATACTGGTGTACCTCAAGGGTCTCATCTGGGGCCTTTGTTGTTTAACATATTCATTAACGACATCAGCAGTTGCTTTAGTAATTCAAAGTTTTATCTGTTCGCTGACGATCTAAAGATCTTTAGACCTGTCTCGTCAAGTTCTGATGCAGAGATTTTACAGGAAGACTTAAATAATTTGTTATCATGGTGTCGTAACAACGGCATGTTGTTAAATGCTAATAAGTGTCATGTTATAAAATTTTCTAGAAAGAAAACATCTCTTGCAACAACGTATAACATTGATGGTCGTATTTTATCTGAAGTTCCTCACATACGCGATTTAGGAGTTACGCTTGACAATAAGCTCCGCTATAACATCCACATAGATAATATTGTTAGCAAGGGTTTTAGGACTCTTGGCTTCCTCTTCCGTAACTGTAAGCAATTCAAGGATGCACGCACTAAAATAATTATCTACTCAGCTTTGGTACGAAGTATTTTGGAATACTGCAGCGTTGTATGGAATCCACACTTTAATATTTACTCACAAAGAATCGAAAGGATACAAAAGAGATTTCTTTTGCATTTATCTTACGAGCATAATCTAGTTAAAACTCTAAGGAGTTACGAGGATAAGTTAAATTATTTTAAGCTTCAGTCACTCTCGAATCGAAGGCAGCTCCTTGACCTTACTTTCTTGCATAAGTTGGTGAATGGCGTCATTGATAGTTCCTACTTACTAGCTCAAATAAATATTCGTGCCCCATTAAAAACTAAAAGGCCGTCGTCTTTTATACCATTCGTAGAAAAAAACACACGCTCACGTCAAGGACGCTGTTCTCCGATTAATAGATTGATGTTGAGTTATAATGCTGTGTATAAATTAACACATAAGAATTGTATTGGTGCCATAACGACTACTGATGATAAACAAAAGGATAGAAAAGTTGATATTGATATTTTTTCAGATAATCTCTCGATATTTAAACGTAATTTATTTTATTTATTCTCATCGAATAATTGTAATTTATAGTCAAAAGGTATATTTTTTATTAAGAAAATTTAAATAAATGTGCTAAGTTTTAATCAGTGTCAACATTGAACAATAAATTAATGAGATTATTTTTCATGTTTAACGATTGTATAATTATAAAATGATGCATGTTTTAAATTATCATATAATATTAATTTCTGATTCAATTTATATACAACTTAATTTTTATAATTTTGAAATGATGCATATTTTAAATTATCAAATAATATTAATTTCTGATTCAATTTATATTTAACTTAATTTATATAATATTCCCATAATTTTTGTATTTATTTTAATTCACTACTTGTATTTGTGTCTATCTTTTATGAAATGTGTGTAACACCTATAATTAAGGCAGCACTTAGAATTTATTATTTATTGTAATTATATTATTATGATTTTGTTAGTGTATGTCTTGTTGGTGTTAATAAATAAATAAATAAAAAAAAAAAAAAAAAAAAAAGTGTCTGTGACCACGTCAATTCTTTTGTCCCAATAGAGTCTCATTACGTTAGGCAGAAATCGAACAAGCTATACTTGGACGGTAATCTTAGTATTGGGCGTATGTTTTTATTATACAAAGAATGGTTTAATCCTACAAAATATGTTAAGAGGGCTTCAACCGAACGTCAATATAGAGATATTGTTTCCAAATACTTTAATTTAGGATTTTATACCCCCAAAAAAGATGCGTGTGACACTTGTCACATATGCGGCAGTAAAAATAATCATACAGAAGACGAGATTGTATTGTATCAAAAACACATTTGTAACAAAAAAATAGCTCGTAAATTAAAAAATGACGACAAGAATGCAGCAATTAACTCTGGTGGTAAAATAATAACAGCAGTCTTTGACTTCCAGAAGGTTCTAACTTGTCCTCAGGGTCAAATTAGTATATTTTATTACAAAAGAAAACTATCATGTTTTAACTTTACTGTATTTGATATGGGTCACAAACAGGCCATATGTTACATGTGGAATGAAACTATTTCAAAAAGGGGAGCTAACGAAGTCAGTAGTTGTTTATTGGATTTTGTAAAGGAAAAAGCTCATGCTGGTGTTGATGAGATCAGATTCTGGTCGGATAATTGCGCCGGGCAGAATCGAAACCGAATCGTTTATTATTTTTACACGTATGCTGCAAAAAAGTATGGTATTACAATAACACATAGGTTTTTAGAGAAGGGACACACCCAAAATGAGGGGGATAGTGTCCATGCCCTCATAGAACGTGCGTCTAAGTCTCGGATAGTTTACACTCCAGATGAATGGCGTGCACTTGTGAGGTGGGCAAAAACCGATGGTAATCCCTATATAGTTAAAAATATGGAGCAAAAGGATTTTTTAAACTTCAAAATTAAGGTTAATAACAAATTATGGCTTAAAAATTGCAAGAATGAAAAAATTCTATGGAATCAGGTAAAGGAAGTCCATGTCAATAAAAAAGATCCCAATAAATTATATTATAAATATGATCTCAATGAAAGTGGTTATAATTGTCTGGTCATAGGATCTAGAACCAGAAATTCATCATCAGCTCTACCTGATTTAACTCCTATTTCTAACAGCTTGTATAAAATATCGAAAGATAAATATAATGATCTTGTTCACATGTGCCAAACCGGTGTAATAATTTCTGAACATAGCATTTATTTCAAATCTCTACCATTTGAAAATAATCATGGTTCTAATAATAATGACAGTAATACAGATGATGAGTGATTTTTTTTTTATATTGTTAATTTCAAGACGTTTCATTTTGATAGTTTTGTTTTTGATTTTGTATAGGATTTAAACAGGTCTGAGACAATTTTGGAGAGAAGTATTTTTTGCTATTACTAGTTTTGGAAATATTTATTTTATTTTTTATTGTGCAGTGAATATTAAGTACCTGCTCAATCATTCCTAGTACAAACATTAAGTTATATTTAATATTTATTATATATATAATAGACTAACTCATATCTGTTGTTGATATAGATAAATAAATATTATTTCTGAGATCTCATGTTTGTTAAAGATTTTTAGTTATTCTAGTTTTGTGATTTGACTGATTTATTTTTTTACCTATTAAGACTGATCATAAACGGGTCGCACAATTAGTATTAAGAGTTTAACTACCAAATGTCAAGATTTTAAATTAGATTTATTCCTTGCTTGTGCAATTTTTAAATGGTATTTTAGTTAAAAAATCGTTGATTATATTTTTCATTTCTTTAATTATATAAATATACCTTGTGTTTAATCAATAAAAACTTTTTTTAAGAACCTACGCAATTTTAAATTTATCTAGAATAACATACGACATCAATATCCCTTTTGTATTCCACAGAACAGCATGACATGTATATATATGTGGTACAACTTTCCATCGAACAACGTCGGAAAGTCACAACATACGTCCTAAGTTACGTAATATAACGTCGGATTATAATATACGAACGTATTTTTTTTATTTTATTAATAAAATGTTCTTATTATTATCTAGTAATAACCCTTAATAAAAGACAAAAAGCTATTTATAAATATTTTTTCAATTAATTAACTAGGAGAAAAGTTATACTAAAAAATGTGACTACAAAACTTTAAACTGCTCTCCTGTAAAGTAGATATTTTGTAGATCCGATTTTGTTCTACGACAGTATCGAATTTGGGATTAGAATATTTATTAAGCAGGATTTTAAGTGTCAAAAGTACTGGGAAAGTCAATATGTAATGTATGAGAAAAATGTAATTTTAAGCCTCCTTATTTATTTAAAAGTACAACTTATAATATACATTAGTATATGAGTACTCCTACCTTGAGGAGCTACTTATTAAAGCAGCCCCTGAAGGCTTGTTATCTATTAATATTAAAAGGAAGTACCTTCTTTTTATAAAATTCATATTTATATTTTATTACAGTGCCTGGATCAAGTTTATGCTTGGGAATTTTGTCAGACCAGAAATTCTCATCTCTCGAAGGAACAGTGTGTGAAGCTACACTAATGGGAATTAAGGACATGGGTTTCACTACTATGACAGAAATACAGGCTAAAGCCATTCCACCATTACTAGAAGGAAGAGATCTTGTGGGTGCTGCAAGAACCGGGTCAGGGAAAACCCTTGCATTTCTAATACCAGCCATCGATCTTATATACAAATTAAAATTTAAGCCTAGGAATGGTGAGATAACTGTAATTTATAAAACGAAAGTTAAATTTTGAATTATAATTTTTGAGGAACTTGATGAAGTAAATTCAAATCCCAGGTCTCTTATATTTTCATGTGCAAATCATTTCTAACATGATTACTACTTGTCTTAAGGTGAAAGATAACATCATGTGGAAACATGTCTGGGAGAACGTAGTAAGTTCTCAAAACATATGTGAATTTTGCCAACCTGCACTTTCCCAGCAAAGTGGACTATAGCCTGATTTTCCTTAAAAAAGGCCCAGGCCCAGCATAGGGATTTTAAATAAGGCTGATTATGTTATAACCAATTATCTAATCTGTTAAAAAACTGTTTTGCTTAAAATATTTATTGTATAGTCAAATGATGATACAAAGGCGAATGTGAAAATTGGACGCCATACTATATATATTGAAACAAAAGCATATTTGACTCCAGTTATCTGTAGAGACATATATTTTTGTTTCAATTATAATAAGTGTGGTATGTCTAGAGTTATTTTATGATCGCAGAATGGATATCTGATGTATTTTTTGTAAAAATATACATTTTAAGTTGTCTTCTAAATTATATTACTATATATAATATTTATAGGTACTGGGGTAATCATATTGTCGCCTACAAGGGAACTTTCAATGCAAACTTTTGGTGTATTAATGGAATTAATGAAATACCACCATCATACTTATGGGTTGGTAATGGGAGGTGCCAACAGAAGTACTGAAGCACAGAAACTATCAAAAGGTAAGGAAACTATTTGTTATTTTATCATAAGAATATATCTATACTAATATTATAAATATTTCATTAAATTAAATAATAATAATCAGTTGTGCTCTTTGAAGTCATGAACAAGAAAATTGAATAATTTTTTTAACAAATGCCTATAAGAAAAAATTTTTTTTGACTTTTTCACAGGTATCAATATATTAGTGGCAACACCAGGCCGTCTGCTAGATCACTTACAAAACACACCAGACTTTTTGTATAAAAATCTACAATGCTTGGTAATTGATGAAGCCGATAGGATATTAGAAATTGGTTTTGAGGAAGAAGTCAAGCAGATTATTAGGCTATTGCCAAGTGAGTTATTATTATTATTCTTTTTTTTCTATTTAAAATGTTAGAATATTAATATAGTTTTTTTTTACAAATTTAAACCGACAAATTATCAATTCATGTGTTTTTTTTGTGTGGATAAATGCAGATAATATGGCATACATTTTTAAAGTTGGTTTTTAATTTCTTATGCCTCGATTTAGCCTATAGTATTAATATAATGGTATTAAATAAGTATCAAAAATTAATATAGAAGATACACTTATATAAATATATAAACCTACTAAAATAAATTAATAAATAAGGAATATAGGAAATAATACTAATAAGAAATTGTTTTATTACTAAAATTTTTTTCAGAACGCCGACAAACTATGTTATTCAGTGCAACACAGACTAAAAAAACTGAGTCGTTGACTGCATTGGCAGTTAAACATGAGCCTATATATGTGGGAGTGGATGATCATAGAGAGCAGGCAACTGTAGATTCATTGGAACAAGGGTAAGGTTCTTTATATTATAATATTGTGTGCATATTTGATATTGCATAATCCATACTTCCATACCAATATTATAAATGTGAAAGTATTCTGTCTGCCTGTTTGTTACCTTTTCTCACTTAATCCGCTGAACCGATTTAGACGAAATTTCGTATGGAGATAGTTTGAGACCCTGGAAGGAACATAGGATAGTTTTTATCCCGGTAGAGTAGTCATCAATCAATAATTTCGCAATTAAGGAATATAAAAATCTACTATACATTTTATAGTCTGTCTATTCCATACTAAACATGAAAATGTACCTAGGGATGAACCAGAGCGAAGCGAGGGTGAGTCTTTAGTATATAATAATTTCTCAACAATATCAGTTACACATAATTAAGATATTTGATGATAATTGTATTATTTACTTAATAAAACCCTTGAATTCATTCAATCACTCATTAAACACAAAAGCCTTAACTGGTAGACATGAAAAGGCAAATAAATCAAGGGACTGAAGGTTTGTATTGCGGTACTTCTTCATGCAAGGCTTTTTCTGCACTTAGACAATTTTCTCTTATTTTGTGTAAATGTTTAATTCAGTTCTCTTGTTAATGCCTTCAAAAAGCGTGCCAGGTAAGCACAGATTGCTTCACCAATGTCACATAGAATAGAATGTTATTCTTTCCGTCCCATATCATCCCAGTAGTTTAGTAGGGTGTGTATGGCAGGTTGTCAGTTTTAAAGAAATGTGACATGATCTGACAAGTTACTGATGAGGACTCCCATTGTGCTCTCAAGTAGTATAATATTATAGTCACAGCTATTTAATATATTTGATATTTTTCATTCCTCAGTTACATTGTATGCCCATCAGAAAAACGCATGATGGTACTATTCACATTCCTAAAGAAGAATAGGAAAAAGAAGGTTATGGTGTTCCTTTCAACTTGTATGTCAGTAAAGTACCATCATGAACTGTTCAACTACATTGATCTACCTGTCATGTCTATACATGTAAGTATTTTTTGCTAAATATATATTGTTGGGTAAAGATAGAAAGGGTGGATGGACTACCTGGTTCGCCGTTGTCCCGCGTGGGTTCTTAAGTCGCGTTTCGTACACCAATCACTTTCACACAACACCGGGTGATTTGCTTAAAGTTTGTAATTGTAAAATAAGATAGCTTATTGCGTTTCGCACGATAACTTTGACGCGTAGTCTTAAATTTGATGGGGAGAATGCGGAGCTCGTCCCATCGCCGTATGCGGCCGTTGAAGCTTTTTTTGTACTACCTCCAGGTAAAGGAATATCGAGGGAGTTTAGGATGTGACGGTAGGAAGATATGTATAATGATGTCAAGTAAAGAATGTGTACCTAACATACCGCCCCCCAAAGAGCGGCTTAGCTCTTTCATTTAAACGAACCCCTTTGAAATTTGCTAAAAGGTTGACGTAAACAAAAGAGTAAAAAAAAACAATATGTTGCTTACTAAAACTAAAGCTATTACTACTACCTAAACAAGAAAAAAAAATAAGTATTGTTTTTATTAATTGAAAGATGGCAGCAAAGGGCAAAGCTTGACTACTGGTCTAAGTAGAGTGCCAGTAGAAGTTTTTAATTCTACGACGCGAACAGTGCCGTCAGAACCCGGGCAAATGCGAGTCACACGAGCTTTCTTCCAGTGAAGCGGTGGCAAGTTGGGATCCTTGATAAGAACTAAATCACCAACTTGAAAATTTGAAATCTTGGCAAGCCATTTAGGTCGCTGCTGTAGAGTATGTAGGTACTCAGCTTGCCAACGCCTCCAGAAGTGCTGAGTAATCTGGCGCAAAAGCTGCCATCGTTTGAGAGTATTAAAATTTATCTGCTCCAAGTCTTGCTCAGGTAAAGCCAATAGCGGCTGACCGATGATGAAGTGGCCGGGCGTTAAGACTTCTAGATCGTTAGGATCGCTACTTAGGGGATATAACGGTCGAGAATTCAACGCGGCTTCTATTTTGCTAAAAACAGTGACGAGCTCTTCAAAGAGAAGTGAGCGATCGCCTATAACACGAAGAAGAATAAGTTTTGCAGATTTAATCGCGCTCTCCCATAAACCGCCCATATGTGGACTGGCAGGAGGATTAAAATGCCATACAATTTGTCGACTGGCTAATGAACGTTTTATGTCATCATGCGAGTTTTTGAGTAATTGTGTAACTTCTTTCAAGTAGTTGTTAGCTCCAACGAAGTTGGTACCACAGTCACTGTAAACATCGGTGGGAAGACCCCTTCGCGATACGAAGCGATCAAAGCAAGCTAAAAAGGCGTCTGTCGACAGCTCGGAAACCAGTTCCAAGTGGACAGCTTTGGTGGTGAAACAAATCCATAAACATAAATATGCCTTAACAGATCGAGCGTTGCGCAGTCGCGAGGTTTTCAGAAGAAAAGGACCTGCAAAATCCACTCCAACTCTTTGAAAGGGTCTGCAAGATGTGACTCGAGAAAGAGGTAAATCACTCATGAAAGGTTCAGTCGCCTTGGGACGTAATCTATAGCAATGTTGACATTGAAATATTTGCCGACGGATTGCACGGCGTGCTGATAATATCCAAAATTTACGTTGCAGTAGATTTAAAAGAGTATTGACACCAGGGTGTAGGAATGCCCGGTGATAATGATCAATGAGCAAGCGAGTAACGTGATGTGCCTTCGGAAGCAAGAGTGGATGTTTAGCGTTAAATGATAAAGATGAGTTTACAATCCGACCACCTACTCTCAGCAAATTTTGAGAGTCAAGAAATGGATTAAGACGTCGAAGGCTATCTTTGAGAGGTTTCCCATTACGCAACAACGAAATTGTTGAAGAAGATTCTTCCGACTGTACAGTTGATATAATGGTATTCAAACTATCGTTCAATTCGGAAACAGATAGTGATCCCGTGTGTCGCTTCGTTGGATTGCGTGAATTATGCAAAAATCGCTTACACCAAGCTACAACAGCCTGTAGCTTGCGAAGGGAACTGAATTTGTGCAAGAAAGGTAAATCGACGCTAACCTTAGCAATGTGTGATATAGGGGATGGTAATTTCAGACCAGGTAAATTCGCTTGGCTCAACGTAGGTGTGTCTCCAGGCCATGTCGAAGAATCACCTTCAAGCCAAGGTGGAGACCACCACAAGATGGTTTTAGCTAGTTCAGAGGGGTAGAGACCTCGACTAGCGGCATCAGCAGGATTTAGTGATGATGGAACGTATCTCCAAATAGCTCTTGGTATTAAAGCTTGAATTTGGGACACTCGATTTCCTTCAAACGTTTGTAAAGTATGAGGAGAAGATTTAAGCCATGTGAGCACGATGCTGGAATCACACCAGGCCACTGTGCTGCTGATTTTAATTTTATGTTTTAGAGTTTTGATAATATGCTCAAGTAAGCGAGCGAGAAGATGTGCGCCGCACAATTCCAATTTGGGAATCGTGAGCTTTTGCTTGAGAGGAGCAACTCGAGACTTCGCTAACATTAGTTGGGCCGAAGTTTTACCATAAGAATTTTTGACGCGCAGGTAGACGCAAGCTGCGTACCCGCGTTCGGAAGCATCACTGAAACCGTGGAGTTCACAATCGCTTAGTTGATCAGTGAGTACCCAGCGTGGAATAACAATTTTGTTAAGATGATGAAAATTTGACATAAAAGATAGCCAAGCCTTTTGAATATCAGAAGGTAGAGAATCGTCCCAACCACATTTGAGAACCCAGAGCCTCTGCATAACATGTTTCGCATAGAAGGTTACAGGTGCTAGAAAACCGCAAGGGTCATAGAGTCGGGCTATATTAGAAAGTATGCCTCGCATGGTGAGTGTATTGTTCATATCTGAAACCCGATAAATAAAACTATCATTAGAAGCACTCCAAGCCATGCCTAAGACTTTAAATATGTTATCGCAGTCGTGTTCAAACAGATAGGGCTGCTCGCAATGATCAGCAGGAAAGTCGCTTATGAATTCCTTACAGTTACTCGACCACTTACGCAAGAGAAAACCGCCCTGAGATAGGATACTGACCAGTACCTGCTGTAATTCCCTAGCAGATTCCACGGAATCACACCCGCTGACGATATCATCGACGAAATTGTCGTTTAGCAGCACTTGAGAAGCTTCTGGATGTTGATTTGAATTAAGAGAAGCAAGCTCGTGTATAACACGGATTGCTTGGAAGGCAGAGCTTGAAACACCGTAGGTAACAGTGGTAAGCTCGTATTCCTTAAGAGGTTGGTCAGGAGATTCGCGCCAGAATATGGTTTGATATTTGCAGTCAGCATCGTCCATGCGCACCTGACGGTACATTTGTTTGATGTCACAGGTGAAGACGATCTTGTGAATCCTGAAGCGCTTAATAATATCTTCAATATTTCTTTGCAATTTAGGCCCTGTCATTAGGACCTGATTTAACGAAACACCGGTTGAGCTGGAAGCCGAAGCGTCAAAAACTGCACGAAGCTTATTCGTGCTACTAGATTCGCGCAGAACACCATGATGCGGAATGTAGTATCGCTCACTTGCGTCAGAGCAAGAAGCTTCACGCATATGACCCGAACTAAGATAGTCTCGCATAAACTCTACATAGAGTTCACGCAAGCGCGGATCCCTGATAAGCTTACGTTCCAAATTGTAGAAGCGTTTCAGGGCATTGATACGTGTGTCCCCCAAAGGCTTGTGATTCACCTTGAAGGGAAGACGAACTTGAAAACGACCAGTGTCGTCTCTACGATGCGTTTCGCAAAAGTGTTTTTCGCATAGAACATCCTCAGGATCTTGAATAGGTTGACTGGAGAACTCTTCTGCTTCCCAGAACCTTGTAAGTGCAAGATTGAGGTCAAATGTGCAGGCCATCGACATCACATCTTGAACGTGTGACGATGCTGCGGGAGCTTTGCCCATAATTACCCATCCAAAGATAGAAGAGTAGGCAGTAGGCATGTTGTCACCTAGACTGAACCTTCTACCATCAAGGATCTGTTCGTACAAGTCAATGCCCAAGAGCAGGTCGACTTGTCCAGGAATGATAAAACTTTTGTCTGCTAATACTAAATTGCTACATAGATTTAAAACTGATTTGTTAACTTGAACTGATGGCAGATTGTTTGTAATGCGCCTCAAAACAATAAAATCGGAAGTTAATGTTTTAGAAGCATTTATCAGAGGCTTAATATGACATGTTACCCTGCCTAGAGTTTGCTGAGGGGATGCTGCACCTAAACCAAAAATTGATGAAGATTGAGTTCGATGAAGTTTCAATTTTTGAGCTAAATCTTCTGTAATAATAGACACCTGAGAGCCACAATCAATTAATGCGCGAGCAATGTGAGTATAACCATTTACATCTAAAATTCCTACGAGGGCTGTACCAAGAAGCATAGTGGATGCACCATCGGCACCATGTAAAGTTTGAAGTTGGACTGCGGAACTAGTAGTCGACACAGCAGCTTCATTGCTATTAGGAGCTGATGCATGCTGAGTATAATTATTGTCAGCTGTGGCCTTTGAAATGTGCAATTTTGTGTGATGATGGCCATGACATATCTGACATACACTTCTAGAAGTACATTTTGAAACATGATGTGGTCTCAAGCAGTTAAAGCAAAGTTTATGTTGAATAACAAAAGATTTTCTTTGTTCCTGAGTCATAGCGTTAAATTTTAAACAGTTATATATGCTGTGCTTACTCTGGCAACAAGGGCAAGAATAATTTGCAATATAATTTAATTTAGGTTTCTCTTCAATAATATTTAATGAGTTATGTGTATTAGTTTTTGTATGAGAAGTTGAACCTGAAATGTTTTCTAATATTCTCAATTGAATTTCTAAAAATTGTATAAAATCATCAAATGTGGGAATATTTATGGGATTAATTTGTGACTCAAATTTACTTCTAAATTCAATAGGAATCTTTCTTAGTAATATATGTACTAATAAGAAACTCCATGACTTTACATTAAACTCTAAAGCAGTTAAAGCATTTGTATTTTCTTTAATAGTGTTTAAAAATTTGTTTAAAGACTTAAAATGTATTTGTGTAAGGTTAGGTAAGTTAAGAATAGACTCAACATACTTGTCCGCTATGACTCTTTTGTTTTCATATCGCTCAGCCAACAATTTGTATGCAATATTATAGTTTTCATTAGATAGAGTTAAGTTTTGATAAGAGATAAAGGCTCCTTGTCTAATACACTCAGTAAATAATGCATTTTTTCAATTTCACTTAACTTTTTGTTATTATGAATTAAACTGTTGAAAATAGAAATAAAATTTGGCCATTCTATATGAGCACCTGAGAATCTAGTTAATGATATTTTAGGTAAATGAAACTCGCAGCTAGGCACTGGAATTACTTGTGTATCACAATTTGCACTAGATTTTGACTCAAATAAAGTAGTATGATACACTTGTATTGAGTAAAACATGTCATTTGAAATATTATAATTCTTTTCAATTTCGCTACGCTTATCTTCGCCAAAAGAATCGATATTTGCTATTAAAAATGAGAAAGACTCCTCCATTTGCTGCCGATATCTTTCTATATCCTTAAACCGTACAAGAAACTGTTGCTTTTCCTTCATGTTTACAGAAGGTTTTTTAATAATGTTACCACCCAAAATCATATAACTGCTTTATATGATTTAGTGCTATTTCATATTTTACTAAATGCATTTTGAGGTCAGACATCGTTGATCGTTATATATTTTAATTACGTAATGTATGCAAAATATAAACAAATGTGACAATTTGACAGCTGACAAATAACAAGTGACAAATGACAAGACACTATTTGACATTGACGGTTGACTGATTCGCAATCCGGAATGAAACAGTGATGCCAATATGAAATTGTTAATTTTACGTATGCAATATGGCGTCAAGCGAAATGTAAAAATTAGATGTATATTATTTGTAGGTATATATGTAATGTTTTTTGATGGAAATAAGGATGATTTATTGAAAATGAGGTTTGATTACTAAAGGATATCCGGCTCGAAGGACCATAAAAGGGTGTTGGGTAAAGATAGAAAGGGTGGATGGACTACCTGGTTCGCCGTTGTCCCGCGTGGGTTCTTAAGTCGCGTTTCGTACACCAATCACTTTCACACAACACCGGGTGATTTGCTTAAAGTTTGTAATTGTAAAATAAGATAGCTTATTGCGTTTCGCACGATAACTTTGACGCGTAGTCTTAAATTTGATGGGGAGAATGCGGAGCTCGTCCCATCGCCGTATGCGGCCGTTGAAGCTTTTTTTGTACTACCTCCAGGTAAAGGAATATCGAGGGAGTTTAGGATGTGACGGTAGGAAGATATGTATAATGATGTCAAGTAAAGAATGTGTACCTAACATATATATTAACTCTAAATCTAAACACAATAAAAAATTATCTTATTTTAATAACTAACTTATAACCTATAATTGTCGATGTATTAAAAATACTTATGTTAACTAACACAAACTATTGTTTAGCGAAAACAATTAATTCTCTTCTTAAAGTCTTTCTTTTATTTGAAAATGAAAAAAAGTGATTAATGTTTTTAAGATACAATAAATATTGTATCTGAAAATAAACTTAATTTTTTAATGTACATACATGTAATATTCAAAAATCTATATGTCTATGTATGTTCCCTATGGACACTAAAATGGCTGGAACGATTTTGACGAAACTTTCAGGCAATCTTCAGATTAGCTCAACGGATGATCCTGTTAAGTTTGGTAGCGATCGGAAGTTTTGAACGGGTACTGTTAGTAGTTTTATAAAATTTAAACTAAATGTATTTTTAGGGTAAACAACAACAAGCCAAACGTACAACAACATTCTTCCAATTCTGCAATGCTGAGAGTGGTATTCTTTTATGTACCGATGTAGCGGCCAGAGGACTTGATATTCCAGCAGTGGACTGGATTGTGCAGTATGACCCACCAGATGACCCTAAGGTAAATGGAATATTGAATTCAACATATAATTATTATATTTACTAACTTAACACAGCAGGAAATCTTTTCAAAACACTGATAAGTTTTAAGTTTTGTTAGTGTTGTTTGACTACATTTTTTGAATGAATTTACCATTCATACAGTTAAGGCCCATTATACTGCGTTCAAAATATTATTAAAAGTCGACATTCGCGTATACGTTAATGCGATTAAAGGAAAAGAAGGAAGAAAAACTCGCATTCCTCTACAAAATTCTTCATCTAACATGAAATTTTATTGTAGGTCTGACAATATCCATACTTTTAATATTATAAATGTAAAATAAGCAGTGGTAGCCAAGTGGTAACGCGCTCGCTTGGGAAACCGAGTGAAGCGGGTTCAAATCCCGGGTCTCGCACCTCTGATATTTTCATGTGCGAATCATTTCTAACATGATTACCACTTGCCTTACGGTGAAGGAAAACATCGTGAGGAAACCTGCATGTCTGAGAGAACCTAGCAAGTTTTCGAAAGACATGTGAAGTCCGCCAACCCGCACTTGGCCAGCGTGGTGGACTATGGCCTGATCCCCCTCGTATTGAAGGGAGGCCTGTGCCCAGCAGTGGGACGTTAAAAAGGGCTAAATACAAAAGTGTGTTTGTTTGTCCTTCTTTCACGTCGAAACGGTGTGACGGATTGACGTGATTTTTTGTGTGGAGATAGTTGGAGGGCTTGAAAGTGACATAGGCTAGGAGTATACCTAATTCGAACGGAAAAACACTTTTAAAACAATCCAAAAAATATAATTAATCATAATTACTTGAATCTTGGTATTAATGCTCTTCAATTAAATTAAATAAATATGTGTTTTAGCATTTTTCGAAATCGTATTAAACTACCTTTTCAGAGCTTTTTTTGTAGATTTAGCGCGAGCGAAGCCGTGGGTACTGCTAGTATTAATATAATATCCACCCATACCCAAAAAAATATGATTCAAACGAATATTGCAGAGGAGAGAATAATATTTTATCTCTTTCTATGTAGCTGGATTCTTATATCTATCGCATATAAGCTTGTTATAAATATTTTGCATATTTGAAACAATAAATAGTAAAAATTCTTTGAAGATAGCATTCTTTGTAGATTACTATGGCAACCTACATAATACAAACGTCACTGGCATAACCTTTTTTGGTGACGATTTCTCATGACGCAACCGTGAAATATTACTCTCATTCGCGCAAATAAGTTTCACTTCAAAAAAATAATCTTAATTACATCAGTTTAAACTTTTCTTTTGTCCATAGGAATATATACACAGAGTGGGCAGAACAGCGCGCGGTCTCGGTACAAGCGGACACGCCTTGTTGTTCCTGCGCCCGGAAGAGTTAGGATTTCTTAGATTCTTGAAACAGTCTAGAGTCACATTGAATGAATTTGAATTTTCATGGAATAAGGTCGCCGATATTCAGCTACAGGTGAATATGATTTTTTAATTTATATTGTTTCCCCTTTTTATTTTGATATATTAAAATATATTAATATAAGTCTTAGACTTGATATTGTTAATGACAATAAATTGGTTGATACTTTGCATTAAATTCAGGGTATTTAAATATTTTTTTATTCTGACAATTTAATATTCTATTTTTGACTAAAAATAAAAAGTTGAAACTAAAAAAACCGACTTCAAAAATAAATGATAAAAAGTATTAAATAACTGGTTGGTAGTTTTCATTTACTATAGTTACCTAATTAGATATTTTCGAAGTCTGGTGTGCTTTGATTTGTATCGGCTGGCATTTCTTTTTGTTTTAAGCTGGTTTTTATTTATAATCTAAGTTTTATTTTTCCATTTTTAATGTAGACAGTAGTAGAATAAGAAGAAAGTATTTCAAAAATTTATTAGGTTTATCAATTTTCCCCTCTTTTCTTCAATGAAGCCCCTTTTTTTCAAATTTAACTGGGATCAACTATCGAATCCCTATCCAATAGAAAAAGAATCATTGAAATTGAACTCTACCGTAAAAAGTTATGCATTAAAAATATAAATATACATCCTCCTTTTTTTTCGTCGGTTAATAAATACACATTGGTGATTATTGTAATTTCTATTTCAGTTGGAAAAACTAATATCCAGAAACTACTTCCTCAATCAATCTGCAAAGGAAGCATTTAAGAGCTATCTCCGTGCATATGACTCGCACCATCTCAAAACTATATTCGATATAGACACAATTGATTTAGCTAAAGTGTCAAAATCATTTGGTTTCACTGTTCCACCGGCAGTGGAACTAAAAGTAACTAGTAAAGGTCCAGTACAAAAACGAAAAGGTGGAGGTGGCTTTGGATACTTTAAAACATTAAACAAGCCGCAGCACAAGAAAGACGAGAAAACAAAAATATATAGACAGAAAGGAAATAATAAGAGATCTGTCAGTTGAAACTACCCATTAATGTAACATTGTCAGCTTAGAACCTAAAAGGAAGGGTATCGCTAAAGTCTCATTTCGGCCCCCAAATAACGAACAAAATTATGTCATACGATTTGATCTTCTACAGTGTATCATTAGTACGAATAAATCTACAAATACACTGGCACGATTTGAGGCCATGAATAAGATTAAATTGGATTAATATTACTTATAATGTCAAACTTATGAACAGTATAAAATAAAAAGGTGTATATTTTTTAATTGATCTAACTTAAATATCTATTGATATGATATATGTCTATTGATGGTGTTAATGTTTCCAGCATTAACGAAAACTGTATAAAATAACTGCTTACTTAACAGTAACAGTCTATAACACAGTAAAATATTGAAACTTCCAAAATCTTAAGCTGGCGATATGTTTTTATTAAACTTTGTTGAGCTATCAGTTATTTAAAAATTCAATGTTATATTTGTGATGAATGTATATTTAAAATATTGGGATTTAAATAAGATTTTTCATAACTGATGGCATAATGTTATGTACTACTCTTCAGTGTACAAGATTACAATTAATTTTTAAAATAAAAAACTGTCATGGTATCATTTGTTTTATTAAGTTTAACTTAACAATTATCTTCATGTCACACGGTCTTTTTATTGCCTTTCTTAGATTTCACTGAAAAATGTTATTAAGGAAATAAATGTAACTTTGAAAATGTGTAATGAAATGAAATAAAAAAATTAAAGCCATCGCGGGCCGCCTGGCAAACCGAAATATTTTGTATAAAAAATATGCATGACATGGTGGTTTTTAAAGGCAGTAAATATGCCATACTTAAAAACAAAATATTCAGATTTATTTTAAAGAAAAAAAATCTTAATTCAATACAAAATTTGAATATAAATAAAAATTAAAATACGAGCTTAACGTGGTTAGAGATGGAGGAAGGAATCGCCGAGCCGAGTGGGAAGAGAGTGAGAGTTACGACACGAGAGTGAGATACGCGTCGCCAACAGCCGGTTTAACCCGCCGCATTGGATGTTACACATCAAAAAAACTTAAACTCAACAAATTAACCTATTATAGATCAGTAAATTCCTTTTCTCAATTCTTGTACATTATTGTAGTATTTAATGGCTGTGACTATTCCTTTGATGGATCGTGGATTGATTAAATTCAGGTTAACTAACACTTCTCAAATAAATATGTAAAACCAATTATATAATTTGAGTTTCATAAATATAAAATACTAGCAATTTACCCTCGCTTTGATTGGGTGCGTCCCTGTCTCTAATCAGTAGCCTATATCCAACTACAATAACAACTCCAGGTCATAGCCTATCTGTACACTCAATTTCATTCAAATATGCCCAGCCATTTAAGGGTTAAAATCTTTCTTCTTTCTTCTGAAGAAAGAAGAAGAAAGATGCTAATTTGTTTAATTATTCCTTTGTAAAGGATACAAAAGTCCACATGTGGTTGTTCCAGAAAACCAAATGCTTTGGCTGCCATTTTTAAATCCAGTCTCTTTATATTGAATACCTTATTTAGTGGATGTTTATTATAACATCTTAAAAACGAAAGGTATGCTTTTCGAGCAAGAACTTTCATGGTACCATCTTGGTCAATGAGATTTTCTAGCTGCAAAATAAAAGAAATACTATAATGTAATTTTATCAATTTTCATTTTCGTTCCACCGCCTTAATTATGGAATTTTCAGAACGCGTACACATAAAGAAATGATTTCTATTAGAATTTAAACTTAAAATATTTGATCATGTGTGAATCATTCCAAACATGATTACCACTTGTTTTACTGTGAAGGAAAACATCGTGAACATCTAGGAAACCTGTTTGTCTGAGAGAACCTAGCAAGTTTTCGAAAGGTATGTGAAGTCCGCCCGCACTTGGCCAGCGTGGTGGACTATGACCTGATTCCCCTCTTATTGAAGGGAGGCTCATGCCCAGCAGTGGGACTTTAAAAAGAGCTGAATGCATACATACATTTGATTATTTGCAGAGATAAGTTCATAGCTACAGTTAGTTTAAATTAAATACAAAAAAACACATACCATTTTTTGTATATCATTATTTGGATCACCAAAATTATATTTGTCTAAATACACTTTTTCTCTTTTCAAATATTCAATGAATTCTTCTTCTTCAGGTCTTAATAGTATGACAGCATTTCCATTAGAATTAATACCTCGGGCCGTACGTCCCACTCTATGAATATACTCCTGAAATATAAAAAGTTTTTTTTACCCTTACTTTATTCCTTGTAAAGATTTCAGTATAAACTCTACTCTTATCAGAGACGAAATCGACCCACCAAACTCTGGTATACTAAATATTGCAAATATGCAACATTGACATATACATAATTTCACACAAAAATACAACACTAATGTACTAATAAACACATAGTTTTATATAAGAAATCGTTAAAAAAACTAAAAAACAGTACTTTAGGGTAAGTACTCAATATTATAAAGGCGGTGTTAGCCCAGTGGCAACGCGCTCGCTAGCTAAACAGAGTGAAGCAGGTTCAAACCCCAGGTCTCGCACATCTGATATATTTACATGTGAATCATTTCCAACATGATTACCACTTGTCTTAATGGTGAAGGAAAACATCGTGAGATAACCTGCATGTCTGAGAGAACCCAGCCAGTCTTGAAAAGATATGTGAAGTCCGCCAACCCACACTTGGCCAGGGTGGTGGACTGACTAGCCCTATTGAAAATATACAATACTCAATATTTGATTCAAATTAACATAACAAAACAATTTTTGATCTTACTTTCATATCAGTAGGTGGATCATACTGTACTATCCAATCTACAGCAGGTATATCTAAACCTCTAGCAGCTACATCTGTACAGAACAATACTCCTTTGTCTGCTTTAACAAAAGTTTGAAAAGCTTCTTTTCTTCTTGGTTGACTTTGTTTCCCCTAAAATTGTATTTCATTTCTATTTTTAATCAAAATAGCAAAAGCACAGGAAAAAAAAGTAGTTCAAATAAGTTTCTAAGTGTTGTTCTTGTTTATATAGAATTTAAAAAGTAAAATATAAGCTTAAAATTCTTTTCTGATAATTGAAAAATCTGCCAAGGTATGAGATATAAGTTTGTTTAGCATATTCATAGATGGCGCTTTATGTATTTTATGGGTAATTTACTAAGGTACAAATGGGTAGTCACTGGAATATATTTTATTTTACATTTTGCAAATTATATACATTTCAGGACATTTTTAAAAATAAAATAGTTAGCAGTTTTCGGAACAACAAAATCTTTCATCTATTTAAAAAATATAGCACAAAGAATGGCTTAAATGAAAGATGTCTAATTTTTAGGGCATTGGATTGCAATGTATCTGAACTAGTAAAGTTCTAAGTCATCTGAGACAAAAGGCAAAGTTATCATAGGTTCATACTTACATGTATACTCAAAACTGATGCTTTACAATGTGTTTTAAAAAATTCATAGTGAAAATCAACTGATTTGCAAGATGAGAAAAACACCATTACTTTCATCTTTCTACTCTTTTTCAGCATTTTATATAACCAGCACATTCTATTTTGAACTGGACAAATACAATACCTAGAACAAAATTCAAAATTCTTGCATATTAAAATTAGAATATCAAATTAGATTTCACTTTCAAAACTGATTAAAAAATTTGCTAAATATTTCATTTAAAAATAAAAATTTGTTTTTAAAAACATACTCAGCATTTACTTTAAAAGCAATAAAAGGTTCATTTTATTACTATACCCTTGCTGTAGTCCATTTGCAGTCGATTGATTGTTTCCATCAATCACAGATATCAACTTAGGATCACTTTTTAATATTAATCTAGCAAGATTATTCACTTTGTCATCTATTGTTGCACTGAATAATGTTGTTTGTCTCTTTTCTGTAAATTAAAATTTAAGAATATTTCTATTGTTTAGTAAATAAGATTAGATTAAAAATATATTGCTATTTCATTCATTATTGTTACATTGTATTTTTCTATCAATAGCTTACTTGGAAGTTTTTTAATAATTCCTATGATGTGCCTCTCAAATCCAGCCTCTAACAATTTATCAGCTTCATCCAAAACCAGACATTTTAAATTGTAGCACTTAAAATTTGCAGTATTTTCTAAATGGTCCAAAATGCGACCAGGTGTTCCAACAATAATATTAACACCTGTAAAATTATTTTGTAGTAGTAATGGTGATCATTTCAACCTTAACATTATAATCCTATAAATAGTATAAATGCGAAAGTTTGGATGGACGGGTGTTTGTTACCCAATCACACCAGAATGGCTGAACGGATCTGAATGAAATTTGGCAGGAAGAGCACATAGATCCCGGACAAATGTATGGTTCCTGTGAGATAGACGTTTTTGTTTTTCACTGCGGGTAAACCCGAACAAAGTGAGGGTTAGTCGCTAGTTTGTTTATAAAGTACATTTCATACCTTTTTGTAAAGACGCTACTTCTTTTAATTTTTTCTCACCACCTACTGCTAAACTATGTGTTAAATTAATATTTACAATCAACTTTTTCAATACTTCATATGTTTGAAGTGCTAACTCCCTTGTAGGGGATATTATTATGCAGCCAATTCCTGTAATAATTAAAAAAATAAAATTGTAATAATACATTTATATAGATTAACATTGACAACCATTGCAATCTGCATATATTACATAAGAGTTGGCCAAGACAAATGAGGATATAATAGCCCCGAGCTTTATGACTTAAGGTACATTTATAATATATTTGTTAGTTACGTAGATTTACCATGACTCTTCGTAAATCCTAAGTTAATTAATTTTTCTATAATTGGTACTAAAAATGCAAGAGTTTTTCCACTGCCAGTCTTTGCTGCTCCTATAATATCTTTTCCAAGCAGCATATGCGGTAAGGATTTGGCTTGTATTGGTGTAGGTTTTTTAAACCCTAAAGCCCTAATGTTTTTTAAAATACGATAATCTATTTTACCCTCCAACATACTAAAATTAAATTGGGCAATTTCTTCTTCAATATTCATTATTATCAAACAAATAAATTAGGTAGTACACATTGATTCCTTAGCTGTACAGATATATTTTTTTTTAATACATAAGTTAAATTATATTACTAAATCTTATTACATTAAACACATATATTTAAGTTTACACTATAAAGTTAGAAGATTTAATTATTAGGTTAGTAGCAATATAGGTACGCTATGGGTTATTTTTTAATAAATAAAACTTTTATTTGTCATCATTTGTCATCCATGATAAAACAACCACAGAGTATGTATGTAACCCTTTACCCTTGAAAATAACCACAGACAAACAAAAAATAACTATAATATAATAATACAGGCACGTGAGAGATTTTAAATCATAGATTGTTATGAACAATACAATCATTATTATAATCTATACAAATATTATAAAGAGGTAAAGTTTGTGAGATTGTGAATTTGTGACGTTGCAGGGGGTAATCTCTGGATCTACTAAACCGATTTTGAAAATTCTTTTACTAATAGAAAGCCACGTTTTTTCTGGGTTTCTTAGGCTATATATAAACCCGAAGAATGAAAAGACTTTTTCATGGTAGTTGGATGTGCAAAGTAAGTCGGAGAAAAAACGGTCGAACGAAAACGTTTCTTACGAAGGCTGCCTTAACGATGAGAGATATATGATTATGTTCTAGAGAAAAGTTGTAGAGCTAAATAATGCCTACAAAAAAGTCAGCGATAGCATATGTCTAAGTTTTATATTTAAGTCACAAAAAGTAGCTTTTTATATTAAACTAGCATTAGTAATATACATACTTAGTAATAGGGACGAACCCGAGTGAAGCGAGGGTGAGCCGCCAGTATGAAATAATTATAATTTGCTGTATATAAGGTAGTTTTAATTACTCATTTGTTAAGTACTTGTAATCTGCTGTCGTAGGTAAGAACAACTTGACAACAATTGTGTGCTTAAAACTTTTGCTTAAAAAAATTGTTATTTCTGTACAAAAATTATTGTGATAAACGAGTATATGATTGTTTAACATCAATAATCATACACATTAAAGTGACGATTGAATGTAATATTTGATTCGATTTTTAAGGGTACACTGTTGTATACTACGAACGATTAATTGTAAATGTTAATTAAGTTTAAATATTTCGTTTATTACATAATTTGAGTAATATCCAAACGCAAAGAGCTTTTAATCCATACTTATTAAAAATTTGAATGTGTGTTTCTTTGTTTGTCTTTCTTTCACATGGAAACGGAGTAACGGACTGGCGTGATTTTTTGTGTGAATATAGTTGTAGGACTGGAGAGTGACATAGGCTACTTTTTACCGCGGGGGATTATCTCATTCCCACGGGAAAACACGTTATAATACAATTGAAAAAAATATTTGTGATCAGAATTACCTACTTGAAACTTGGTATTTATGCTCTTCAATAAAACTAAATAAATAACATGTTTTAGCAGTTTTCGAAATTCATGCTATAAGGGGGTAAACTAGGGGATGAAAGTTTGTATGAAACTACCTAAACTACACTAAATTACTTTTTAGATATTTTTGTAGTTCTTTAGTAAAATTATAAATATTAAAAGACGTAGAAAAGAAGGACTGTGATAAATTGCTTTAAATATTTTTATCTTTATATATAAACCTCAAGTTGACCAATTTCAACATAGCGTTCTCACCCACTAGATTTTATCGTTCGGATGAAAGCTGATGGATGGCTAGACTCGTGTGCGCTAGGGTTAAGAATTAACTTATTTTGTGAATGCTGCGTGAAATGGACTAGAATGTTTAGGCAAAATAACAGGAATGTATGTTTTGCATTAGTCGTCTGTCGTGAACTTATGAATGTCATTCGGTCATCGTCAGCGGTCGGCTGTCACTTTTCTACACGTTCTATTTATCAAGTTATATTTCACAATTTTCGTTATCCAGTGGGAGAAGAGGTGTTATATCTAATCATGATTTATTCTGCTTGGATCAAGCAACTACAGGCTTTCATAATAATTGTATTTACATGGATAATTTCTGTTCAAACTGAGGTTCCGAGGCCGCGCGGCGTTTCTTTATCTAAAGCGTCGTTATATTCACCGACTAAAGATTTTACATGTTTCGATGGAACCAGTACTATACCATTCAGCTATGTAAATGATGACTACTGTGATTGTTTTGATGGAAGTGACGAGCCGGGTACTTCAGCTTGTTTGAATGGAGTATTCCATTGTACAAATGCTGGGCATCGGCCACAAAACATTCCAAGTTCAAGAGTTAATGATGGGGTTTGTGACTGTTGTGATGGTACAGATGAGTACGCCACGCCTGAGACTTGCTCGAATAATTGTGAAGAACTAGGCAAGGAAGCCAGGGCTAAAGCTCAACATTTAGCAGAATTACACAAAGCTGGAAACTTTGTAAGACTAGAACTTATTGAAAAAGGTAATAAAAAACGTAGTGAAATGGCTGAACAACTATCCCAATTAGAAAAGGATAAAGCTGAAGCACAAAAAATAAAAGAAGAAAAGGAAGCATTGAAAATTAAATTAGAAACTAAAGAAAATGAAGCTCTCCAAGTTTATCGAGATGCAGAAGAAAAAGAAAGACAAAGGAAAGCTCAAATTGAGCGTGAACAGCAAGAGAAGGAGGCCACTGAACAGTTTATAAAATTGGATTCTAATAATGATGGCTCCTTAAATGTTGATGAAATTAAAGTAGTAAATGTATTTGATAAAAATAAAGATGGAGAAGTAGATCAGGATGAACTCCAATATTTCTTTGGAGATAAAGAAAGTGTCAGTAAAGAAGATTTTATAACTACTACATGGCCATTGTTAAAACCTTTATTGATGATGGAACAGGGGATGTTCCGTCCTGCTGAAGCTGAAGAAGATGCTGAGAAGCATGATGGAGTGCATGAAGGAGAGGAAAGCCACAGAGTTGAAGATACTGAAGATTTAGATCCTGAGGATGAAAATGTGGATGGTGATGTCGCACAAGATGAAACAGAAGATCTTGATTTGGAAACAGAAGACACAAAAACATATGACGATGAAACTAAAAGATTAATAGATGAAGCAACTGAGGCACGCCGTCAATTTACAGATGCTGAACGCACAGTTAGGGAGATTGAATCAAATATAAGAAATTTCCAAGAAAACTTAGAAAAGGATTATGGTTTACAGCAGGAGTATGCCACTTTAGATGGTGAATGCTTTGAATATGAGGATAAGGAGTATGTTTACAGACTATGCCTGTTCCAAAAAGTTACACAAAAATCTAAGAATGGTGGTATGGAAGTTGGTCTAGGAAACTGGGGAGAATGGGCTGGTGAAGAAGGTGATAAGTATTCAGTTATGAAGTATGCAAATGGAATAGCCTGCTGGAATGGGCCGAACAGGATGACTATTGTCAATATTAACTGTGGTTTAGAAACAAAAATTACTTCAGTTACAGAGCCGTTCCGATGTGAATATAAAATAGATTTAGATACACCAGCTGCATGTGATGATTCAAATTATTCAAAACAACAGACATCACATGATGAGCTGTGATAGACTTAAAAAGTTTTAACTCTTTATGAAGTGTGCTGATGAAAATATAGGATAGATCACTCATTTCGTTGTATGTCACAATAAGTTAAAATGAAATGTAGTCTGGTCAAAGCCCTATTTGTAAAAAAATGTAGTTTTAATTTATACTAGGTAACAAATGTGTGACAACCACTATTTGATACATTTATAACATTATCTTTATATTATATTGTGATGCAATTAGGCTACCATCAATAAACTTTCACTCCCAGTTGCATTTATCATACTTTTCATTTTGCTTAAGATCAATTTTATTTATTAAATTTGAAACGATATTTTATATTTAAGACTGACCTGGCTAACAGTAATTGTATTATTACACATTCCTCAAATAAAGTAAGACTGTTGAGAAAAGTAAAGTAAGAGTAAATAAAGTACTAGTAAATTGAAAACCATGATGTGAACAAAACATTGTAAGTAATAAAATATTGTTTTTAATTATACTATATGTGATTATTGATTAATAAATTATTTTTCCTGTGATCTGTATTATTTTAAATATTTTATAAAATAAAATCTTTTAAATGATATTTTCCAAAAAAAAGTATAACATTGGTAAGTAGGTAGTGAGTTTAAAATAAAATATATAATATGGCACCCACACGAAGTAGAAAATACCTATAAATTGTCTTCGTAAAGTTACTTTCTATTGTGAAATAATTTAAACGATCTTAAAACATTCGTGTTAAAATGTTATTGGTTACTGCTCTCTTTACGTTATCTGTATTTGTTATTGATATTTGATGCTTACTTAGCAGTCAAAAATCAAAATACGCTTGTGAATTAAAAAAGTTGAATTAATGTTTGTAATTTGATGAAAAGGTAGTAAACAATTTAAATTACTTATAGGTTTGCTTTTATAGTTTATCAATATCTAATATAACAGCTGAAGCAATGGATACTATACTAGAACAGCAACGGAGTTATCATGAAGAAAGAGAACGTACTATGGATGCAATGGTGAAAGAAATTTTACACAAAAAGACTGGAGTATGTTTAATTAATCTATTTTTAATCTAAATTATGTATTTTTATTTAGAAGAATGTATTTTACAAATTGATTTGTTATAAGACTTACCTATTAAACATAACCTAAAAATATTTTTTAGCATCGGGAAACTATTAATGCTGATCACCGTCTCAAAAATCTACATGATGTAAGTTAATTTATGTTAAATATCAACTTTACTCTGAACTTCAGAGTTTGTATGTATGAGATTTTATTAAACAGAACAATGATTTTTAGAGGTATATCGAATCTACAATAAGACTGAAAGAATTGTATGAAGATAAAGATGGATTGCGAAAAGAAGAAATTGCCGCTCTATCAGGGCCTAATGAATTTCAAGAATTTTATTCCCGGCTCAAACAAATCAAAGAATTTCATAGAAAACATCCTAATGAGGTAAATTATTTGTAAGCGGATGTTAACACACTTATGTGCAACAAACAATTACTCTCTTATTGACTGACCCTTGCATGCATTAAAAGATAAGTAATTACATCAAACAAAAAAAAACCAATTGTAATACTTTCATTAAGTAAAAAAATTTCTGGATTTTTATTATTGTTACATGAGATAAGTATTTATATTTTTAGATTTGTGTGCCAATGTCAGTTGAGTTTGAAGAAATTGCTAAACTTCGGGAAAATCCTTCTGAAGATTACTCAAGTTAGTATTGTAATATTTAAATTATGCTATTATTAATCTAGAAAATTTGATGAAAGCTTTGTTGCTTAATGTTTTAATAATTATGTAAATTTATAGCACCAGTAGAATTCACTGATGAAGAAGGATATGGAAAATATTTGGACCTCCATGAATGTTATGAAAAATATATCAATTTGAAGGGAATAGAGGTAATTTTTTTTTTTGCATTATTCTTTGTAATTGAATTTTACCCTTTTATTTGTATTGCATTGAATAATAACTAAAACTTCTATATTTACTTAATGTGATGTATTTATTGCCTTTTTATTATACATATTATGTCAAATCTTCTTGATTACATTTAGTTTGGTTTAATGCATATATTACACACATACAAACTTACATTTGTTTTATATTTGCATATTATATGCTTTATGAGTTATGACTAAGTCTGATTGATGTAAACATGATATGTATACTTTTTGGTTTTCTAATTACTAAACACAACTTTACATATATTTTAAAAGATATTTTATTTTTTCAGAAAGTTGATTATATAACATACTTAAGCATTTTTGATCACTTATTTGACATTCCAAGAGAGCGTAAGAACAGTGAATATAGGAATTATATAAGGGCTTTGCTTACATATTTGAAAGATTTTGTGAATAGAGTAAAACCTTTATCAGACCAAGCGCAAGAAATGGCCATAGCGCATCAGGAGTTCGTTAAACAGTGGGAAGCTGGAACTTTTCCTGGATGGCCGGTATGTACATTTAATAAAAACTTTAGGTGTATTCAATTCAAGTGTTTGTTTACTTTCTTTATGTTTATTTTATTACATGACGCTTACCAATTTTAAAAATTAAAATATTTTTGCACGGTATTTCCAAAATTTTCAAATTAAAATAGAATTGTTTGAACAATATATCTTATATGCCTGACTATAAAAAAAATGTGTCAAAAATACACTATTAGATTAAAAAATGATGTATTTATTAGTCTCATTAACAACATTTTCTTTAAATTCCTGTTAAGATTTTCAATTGATGTTACAACATACATACAATTAAGAATTGAATTTTATTGCATATCACTGAGTTAAAAAATACTTTGTTGCTTTTTAGAAAGAAACAGGTGGTGCACTAACTAATGTAGGCGCACATTTGGATTTATCTGCCTTTTCGTCATGGGAGGAGTTAGCTTCCCTTGGTTTGGACAGATTGAAATCGGCTCTGATGGCCCTTGGATTGAAATGTGGTGGCACTTTGGAAGAGAGAGCTCAAAGGTACTATATAGTATTTATTATCATTGATTTTGTATTTATAAAAAGTGATGATTATATCTAATTTGTATTTTACTGATTATTTGTTTTTTAATTAAAATAAACAAATAATTTGGCAGTTTTTAAAATATTGTCTGTCTGTAGATGCAAGCACATATTCAAAAGAAATTCTTTTTTATTTTTAGCATATTAAGTAAATAGAATATCTAAGATTACACTTACACTAAAAGTTTTATAAATTGGTTTCACTAAGCTATAAAAATAAATACATTTGAACCCACAGTCGAACTTGATATGCAATGATAATTATTTTTACATTGTTTCTATCATTATAAATATAGAATATATTGCGACAGCTTTACGTTAATTACTCTATAAATAAAATCTATATCTTACTTATTTTCGCATTCAAAATATTATGAATGACCAAATCAAAGCTTTATCAAGTAAATTGTTTATATTGAAAAGTATGATGCACTTGTACTGTATGATAAATATTATTGTGTTATTCATATTTGTAGATAGTTAAAGTTATTATTTATGTTATTTTATTGTTTAATAGATTATTCAGCACAAAAGGTCAAACTGCTTTGGACAAATCTCTCGTGGCAAAGAAAGGGGCCAACAAAGCCAAGGCTTCGACGCAACAACGTCATAAAGATATTGCGGCAATAGAAGCACAAGTCTATAGGTGATTTAAACAATTATTTTTTTTAATCTAATATTGGCATCTCAGAAATACGTATTTATAAAGTTTTTCGCTTCGATGATGCGAATATCGAAAGTGTATAAAAAACATGCGGTGAAGATTAATCCACTACTTACTAATATTATTAATGTGAAAGTGTGTTTGTCTGTTTGTTTGTCCTTCTTTCACGTCGAAAAAGAGTGAAGGGTTGGCGTGATTTTTTATGTGGAGCTAGTTGGAGGGCTGGAGACTGACATAGGCTACATTTTACCGCGAGAGATAATCCATTCCCATGGGAAAACACGTTATAATATAACCCACAACAACTCATCATACCTATGTATATTGTATATGAATATAATATTTAGTCTATCTATTTACTGCGCCGAACCCAAGTGATTGGGAATTGGGCAGGGAGATGATAGTCTATCTATTCCATACTAACAGTTAAAACGTAACTAGGAACGAGCCCGAGCGAAGCGTAGATGAGTCTCTAGTTGTATATAATATATTCAAAAACTTCAAAATAAATGTTATTGTAACTGTACCATCCATAGAGATGGATTTATTTCTTAAAATGTATATATTCTTAAAATGTATATACATAGGACTACCTTGAGGAATATTAGCAACTTAACTCTTGTTTCATTCGAGTTCCTACCTAGCTATATTACAATAAGTTAACGCCATCGGTGTAGATTGGGGGCACTTAAAACCCGCCAAAATTGTAGCTGCGGTGGCGTATTATTTTATTGGAATATTCAAAAAATATATTTTACGCCACCGCAACTACAGATTTCGCGGGTTTTAAATGCCACCAATCTACAGCGATGGCCTTAATATGTAAGTACCACAATAACTTACATGATACCCCTGTCATCGTCTATGTGTACTTACTGAATTTCATATAACTCCATGTAGCCGTTTCAATGTGAAGGAGTAACAAACATACTCACATCCAAATTTTCACATATACACTAGGTTGGAGCGAAAAAAAAATGGTTTTTTTTTTCGCTTGGGGGTAGAATATAAAACCTTATAAAAAAACCTTTGAAATAAAAAAAAACTAAATTAATTATTTATTTTTAATATAAGCTACAAATTCTGCCGCCTACCTAAGAAAAAAAAGCAAAAAAAAATTTTTCGCTCCAACCTAATATACATATAATAGTATACTGATTATTTAAAGAAAGAATCATTAAGATCGGTAATGGACCGGTTTTTCATTCTTTTTATTGGTGAGAATATCAGTGAACAACCTCCTCATTCTGGTTATTCTTGGTTAAAAAGGACCACGACGAAGTCAGGATTTGCCACTACTAAATTATAACTAGTAGTTAATCTATAACTTCTAAGAATATCCGATAAGACGTTAGTAGAAAGAATGTTAACATTTCCTCTCTTTGTTACAAGACAATATTTTTTTTCTTGAGATTGCTTAGTATGTTTTTATTAATCTATGCTAATATTATAAAGAGGTAAAGCTTGTGAGTTTGTGACGTTGTAGGGGGTAACTCAGGATCTACTGAACCGATTTAGATGAAATTTGGTAAGAAGATCGTTTGAGACCCTGGGAAGGACATTAGGTAATTTTATCCCGGAATCATCCCTGAAGGGGGTGAAAGTGGGGATGAAAGTTTGTATGGGGAATCAAGCGACGAACCCGAGCGAAGCGAGAGTGAGTCGCTAGTTTTAGATAATAGTCTAATTCACTTGTCGGTCTGTATATTTTTTATTCCTTCTATTATACCAGTATCTACATTTTTAATAGGTGTTCGTTATCTTGATAACGAAAAATATATACACATACAAACTTCCGCGATTATAATAGTGTAATTCATATTATGATATTTTTATGTTAGGCTCAACCTGTTGAATCACAAGCCAACTAAAAATCCTGGCACAATTGCCATGGCACCACAATTCCTATTACATTGATTTTTCTATAATAGAAGAGAAATCTATTTCCAATAACCTTTGTAAAATTTGGTCATGACCTCTCTTGCTTCCTTAATAAGTATGCATGTTTACATATAGTTCAAGTTCATCATATTATTTTCATTCTAATTGTTTCCTATAAGTGACTTTCTTGTAAATAAAAACAAGTGTTTTTAAAGTACTTAATAACGTGTATGAATAAAAACATTTTATTATCATCCAATCGAATTAAATTCTTATAGCTGAGGTAATTTCCACGCTGTTATAATGACCTACATTATTAACCTTTTGTTACATTCTACTTTTTTACAAAGTATAGGTGATTAAACAAATATGCAATCCAGTTATTATTCTTTTTACTGAAAAGTTTTTAATCCCTCCACGATCGCGGACACGGCGGCGTTACAGTTAACAATAGATTTCTTAGAAATTTAATTAATATCTTAGAAATTTACCTGGAGGTGTATTGATTTTTGATAACTGTCTCAGTGTATGAAAAAGTGTTCGTCGAAAGGCGTACGGTGGCGCTACTGTAGCAAGTGGGTCAATTTTACAGGAAGCCCCGAAGTTATTAAATTAGGATATAGTAAAGCTCATAAGGAGAATTATTTTGGACTAGTAAATAGATGAGGTTTCACATATAAATATTCATTAACTAGTCTAGTCACCAAAAATATTGAATTTTTCAACTCTGTACACTTCACACCGTGTACAATTGCTAAATTAATATTATAGGTACTCTTTACTTAAGCTAACTCGTTAGTGTGGTTTTTTGAGCTATTGGGTATTTATAATTTTTACCAACGTGTTTCCTATATAAGACGACTTTTACCTCTACCCTTCATACATAAACATTTTCATAAATACACTAGCAACTCACATTCGCTTCGCTAGGGTTCGTCCCTAGGTACGTTTTAATGGTTAGTATGGAATAGACTATACATATGTACATACATATGTATAGTCTTATGTATAATAGTGTATAGAAAAGTAGGTAAAGACTTTAAAAAAATAAAAAAAATCAACGCCCGTTTTCACCCCCTTAGGGAATGATTTCCGGTAGAAAAAACCTCCTTTATCCTCTCCCGGGTCACAAAACTATTTCCAAACCAAATTTGATCTAAATCGGATTAAGCGTAAAAAGGTAACAGACAGACAGATATTTATAATATTAGTATTATTGGATCGTACACAGATTTGCAAACATAGTGAGCAACACACGCGCATCGACCATAGAGAACGTGACGCGCAGAGCGGCGCGCGCGGCCGGCGAGCGCCGCGACGAGAGCGACGAGGAGAGTGACGCGTCCGTGACAGCGGACTTAGACTCGGACGACGACGACGTGCCGTACAACCCGAAGAACTTACCGTTGGGTTGGGATGGAAAGGTAGGCATATTATGTTTAAATATATTAATACGTGAAGCAAAATCTTTGTACCCTTTTTACGAAAATTGCGCGGATGGAGGAGTATGAAATTTCCCACACTAATGGTTTATACAGAGAGGGAGTGCAGAATGCTAGTATTTTTTTAAACTATGCATAAAATACATTATATCAATAAAAATGTATTTGATACACACAAGCATATATTATACTTTTTTGTTTATTGTTAAAGTCTGTGGTCAAATTGAGAATTATGTAGGTATAGTTTAATAGCTATCGACGAGCTTTAGTTTTATAAATAAAAAAATCAATAATAATCATGGTCGAAGTTTGACCACTCGGCGAACTCTAGTTTAAAATATTTCCTCTATTATGTTATGATAGACTCGGGTTTTCCGGGCTTGTTGTAAATGAGTGTATTACTAACCTTTTTACTAACTTACCTTTGAAACAATATGTGCCTACATTACAGTAGTCATATACAGACACACACGTACACGCACACATACTTTTGCATTTATACTGGTTGTCCGATCAAATCTTTATAACATAATATAGCCTATGAGTTACTGTGATGTATAAAGTATTACGGTAAAGATGAAACAAAATCTGTTCAGTAGTTTTTGCGTGAAAGAATAACAAACATCGATCCTCATAAACTTTAAACTTTTATTTGCGAATTGAGTTGCAGCTAACAAGATAATTCATAAAATAATGGCATTGCGTAAAATGACCCAACATGACGCTAATATAAATTGTATATTGTATAAAAGTATTAAAAAACGAGGTAATTGTAATCAGTAGGGATAATTAGTATGGAATTAGGTACTGCACAGTGAAAACACTAGCAAAACTAATCTGAAACCGTTAGTCTGTTAAGCTGGCTTACGAGGTCTTCAATTTAAAAGTAATTTATATAATTAAAAATTATCAATAACAGTTAATTAAAATCTTTAATAATAAATTAATATAATAGGGAATAACTTGATTACTTTAAAATTAAAAATGGAATGTTAATTGACTTCGATCAACAAGTCATTACTTCTATTAATTAGACTTGATTAGCTTTTTTGCTTATTGTTATTTGTATACTTGTATTTGCTGGTGGCTTTTGGCTTCTCTTAAGTTGACGTGGATGAAAGTTAGCCTATTACCGTCTCCGTGTTGCAATCTACATATTATGTCATATGCTGGAAAATAAACAGCAGTCGCTTTCTGTACTTTCAATATGAATATGGTAGAGACCTATAAGCTTAATTCCTACAACAATAATTCTATACAGATAAGAGGGAGACTGTTTCAATAAGTAAACAATAACAATAAATTCAAAAGTAATGACTTAAGGTTTAAAGTAATTTTTGTCTGTTTGATTGCTTCAAAGTTAAGACGAGTTCAATGTATTTTTAAGTGCCTTTTTTGTTGTCCGGGTTAATTAATAGTCCTAATTAAATAAAATTATTTTTAACGGATTATTTGGCAGATTTATTTTGATTTTTGGTTCCCGACGTTTGGAACGCTTTACAACAATCATGGTCACGGGTCTCTCCGAAGAGATAGTTTTATTTAAAATGTCAAATATTCGCGTAAATCTAAGAAAATCCTAATTAAAAAGGCCTAGTTTCTTTTTAACATATTGTGAGCTCCCAAAAGAATGTCTGCAAGGAAAAGCTTTAATTTTTTTTATAAAAAGTGTTTTTACTATAACTGCGGCTTTGGAATGAAACTGGGACTAGGCTTGTCAAATTAGCCAAGTTGATAAGTGATGATATTCGCAATTACTTAACTGACTACTACTCAGTCATTTACAACAATTTCGAAAGCCACAATCCTAATACGATAACAAGAACGAACTTCTATTTCCAGCCGATCCCTTACTGGCTATACAAACTGCACGGTCTGAACATAAGCTACTCGTGCGAGATATGCGGCAACTACACATATAAAGGGCCTAAGGCGTTTCAACGCCACTTTGCAGAATGGCGTCACGCCCACGGCATGCGATGCCTGGGCATACCCAATACCGCCCATTTTGCAAATGTCACGCAGATAGAGGACGCTCTCGCACGTAAGTTGTTTTTTTATTCTAGTTATATATGTCTACCGCTCACTTCGCCAATGTCACACATATAAAAGACGCTCTTGCACGTAAGTTGTTTTTTTTTTAATTTTAGTTTTGTCTACCGCCCACTTCGCCAATGTTATGCAGATAGAGGGCGCTCTAGTGTGTAAATTGATTTTTTTTATTCTAGTTATGTCTATAGTCTATGCTTTGTACTAGTGGTGGTTTTGCTCGGTTATTTTTTTAATAAATAAATAAATTATATAAATATGTTGGGACATTTAGGTAGAATTAGATAGTGTTTTAGGAATCATGAAACTTGATATGACGTTTTCATTAAATTGTTAATTCAAAGAGTAAAATTATTAAGTTACATGTAATCGACATTAATGTATGTATGCATTGATGCTAAGTGTATAATTAAAACATGTTCTAAATATATTTTTTTGAGAATATGTCTTATTGTATTTTATAACATTTTTGATTCATTGCAGTTTGGGAGAAAATTAAAAATCAGAAAGAAAGCGAAAGGTTCTTCGCAGAAAATGATGAAGAGTTTGAGGATTCACAAGGAAATGTTGTCAATCGTAAAACTTTTGAAGACTTAAAACGTCAAGGTCTTCTTTAAATATTTGCTAAGAATATTGTATAATATAGTAACAATAATAATAAATATACTGTGAATTAAATACTTTTTTTATTTTACAAATATAAGTAACATTTTAAATAATTATTATAATGAAATTTGTTGATGGTAAATAGATTTTCCTGCTTATGAAACAAATGGAAGATAGTTTTTTGTAATGAGGAAACGAATATTGCGTAGGTAACTATCTAAAATATAAGGTTTTCTTCAATAAAATGTAAGAAAAAAATATATGTCAGGCAAATAAAACAAAATTGAATTCTAAAGGCAGCAAGGTGCTGAAAGGCACATTTGGCAAACTTTGACAAGTATGGATACTGCTTCGAATCATACGATCACCATTCAGTTATATAAGATTTACAAAATAATTGAGCCAGTAAAATAAACAATTAATTTTCGCTGATAACACCCAAGTTCCCGTGAATTTTTCCGAAACAATACGTACTTGTCGCAACGTGCCATATGACATCGGCTAAATATCCAAGCATCTGGGCTTACAGCTCGCCGATTATACGGTATCCAGCCGAACAACTATCTATTTCATCATTAGTTTGTATTAGCCCGAGAGCGCTCGTGACGAATTTTGGGAAGGTCCTTTTGGCAAGTTGAAATTGTGAAAAAATATATTTCGTGAATTGGTGAGTCCAGTTCCGCGAGTCTGCTATAGCTTTAGTGGTTTTTTCGTTACTTCGCAGTATATAACATTTGCAAAAAATATATCCAAAAAAACATATTGCTAAAAGCTATACCAGACTCGCGGGACTGGACTCGCCAATTCACGAAATTATATTTTTTCACAATTTCAACATGCTAAAAGGACCTTCCCAAAATTCGTCGACAGCTCTCGGAATATATATAGTAGGTACGTAGCTGTAGGCCTACTAATCACTTCATAATGTGTGGATGTCTGAGTCTAGTCTCTTTTACTAAAATGAGCTACGGATTAAATATTAACATGGGTCTTAAATTAGTTCTGTGGTTTGCCGGTAGGGATCTGCTCACGAATATAAATGCAGTGAATATTATTTCCTTTTAAATGAGTTTCATCGCCTAATAAAGTTGTACAGAATATGCAATCTGAGTCTTACATTGAGAAGTTTTTTTACTAACTTTATGTACTCATTTACTGTTACTTTAGATTTTCTAATTCCATTTAGATACTCAACCTTTTATTGCAATTTTTGTTTATGGTATATTTCGTCTGCAGTGCGTAAAATGGAATGGATATAAATTATAAACATATGAAATATGTCCTTTTTGACTTTAAATGTCAATGTCTGTTGCATGTGGACAAATGACAGTTTTCAATCATAACAAAGCGTGAATTAATTTAAATCATAAATTTCTATAAGTCTAAAATTCTTTGTGTGTAATATTTTTATGTGAATATGCAAAATAAATAATAATTAAATATGTCGGAAGGAAAAAGAAGCAGTACAATTTTTACCGGAGCGCGAGTTCTAGGTTATGTCAGTACACATGTGCCTTTTGTAGCTCGATTTATAAAAAGAAGAGGAGAAACGTTACTTTGCACAAGTGTAGGGAAATGGTTTCATACTTATGGATGTGATAAATTCCGACTTTTGAGTGTGAGTGGTGAACATCCTGGTCCAATAACATGTATGTGTGGTGACAGCTATCATGTGTATACGGCAAGCGAAAACAATATTTACGCGTGGCGACGGGGTTGTGAACTCAAACACGTATACAAAGGGCATGAGGCTCCTATACATAAACTTTTACCTTTTGCTATTCACCTTATATCGATAGATGAAAATAATGTATTAAAAATATTTGATATTAAAGAGGAAACAGAGTTTTTAGATCTTCGATTTGATGAAGAACATTTTAAAATAACAACAATATGTCATCCTCCTACTTATCTAAATAAAATTTTGCTTGGGAGTGAGCAAGGCCAACTTCAGTTATGGAACATTAGAACATCAAAGCTAGTTTTTACATTTAAAGGATGGAAATCTCCAGTTACTGTAACAGAACCAGCTCCTGCTGTCGATGTTGTAGCTATTGCTTTAGAAAATGGAAAAATTATCCTTCATAATCTCCGTTATGACCAGGTTGTTATGGAATTTAATCATGATTGGGGAAAAATTAGTTCCTTATCATTTAGAATGGATGGGGTACCAATTATGGTAACTGGAAGTACTAAAGGCCACTTAATTATGTGGGACTTAGAAGAAAAAAGAGTTAAGTCACAGATTCAGTCAGCCCACTATGCAAGTATAGCTGGCTTGCAATGTTTACCTTCAGAACCTTTGATGGTCACCAACTCTCAAGATAATTCATTGAAGATGTGGATATTTGATATGCCTGATGGTGGGGCAAGGTTGTTAAAAAGAAGGTAAAAGATTTAATATAAACATTAAACTAGCTTTAAAGTAAATAAATAAATTCATGCACTTAACCCTTTTTCATAATCATAGGTTCTCACATTAAAAGTATAAATATCTTTCATCGAGTGTTTTCTTAGTAGATTTGAGTGAAAAATAGAATGAAGATAGATTTTTATTGAAAAAAATTTATCATAAGTAAAAAGCTTTTTGGGGAATTTTTTTTGCTTGTTATTTATATTTTTTCATTTATATATTTGTAGAGAGGGGCATGCATTACCACCAAACTTGATAAGGTATTGTGAGCCTACTGGTGAGAACATATTAGCAGCAGGACGAGATAGTAGTTTGCACATTATGAACACTGTGACTGAAACATTTAACAAGAGCATGGGTAAAGCATCACATAATAAGAAAGCTTCTAAAAAGAAAAGTAAGTACTCCTAAAAATTTAACCCATTAAATCATATTAATACATAAAATATTATGGTTTATATTATTTTATAATAGTGGATTTAATTTAGATAAAAAAAATTATAATGTATCTGCAATCCACAGTAAATTCATAACATGTTTTATATTTTTAGAGAGACTGCAAATAGATCATCTCATTCTTCCTCCAATAACAAAATTGAGTTCATGTATGCAAAGGGACAAACAGTGGGATAGTATAGCGACACTACATGAGAATAAGTATATGGCAACTACATGGTCATACAATAAAATATCAATGGGACAACACAAATTAAAGCCACCAGAAATGGAAAAGGGAGTTTTAGCGACTTGTCTGACTGTCACACATTGTGGAAATTTTGTTATTATAGGTTAGTTAATAAGTTGTTGTTCAAATTTATAATGGAATTAAAAAAATATAAAATATAATTGCAATACAATTTTATATCTTTGTTACTTTGGACAATTAATAAAATTTTGAATAATTTTGATGTAGTTGTTTCTGCCAGGTAAACACAATAAATATAACTTTATGATTTCTGCAAGTATGTTTATATTTTATTAATTACATTTATTTAATTTTTTTGCATGATGTGAATAATAGGTAGAATAATTAATACAAATGATATCTATTTTTAATATGCTTAATTAAGCTCCTTTCTTTAGCTTTTTGTTTAGTTGAGCTTTTTTTGTATTTTTGTTTAGGTTATAGTAATGGTCAAGTGCATAAATTCAATATGCAGTCGGGAATATACAGAGGTCACTACGGCAATGAGAAGAGACTTGCACATAAAGGAGCCGTCAGAGGAGTTGAAACAGATCTCTGTAATCAAAGAGTTATTACTGTGGGCGCTGATGCTAGGCTGAAATTCTGGCATTTTAAATCTGGTAATTTTAGTTACGATATTGTTTCTACATTTATATTTTTACGAGCTGAACCAACAAATGTCCAATAGAATTTTTCAAAAGTCCCATACAAATAAGGACAAAAAAATTGAATAATTTTCCCAAATTTCCTATTGTTCTCAGCAATTTATTAAATGTTGTCCTTTTTAAAACCCTACACTACTATTTATTAATTAAACCATTACAAATAAAAAGAAATAAAATATCAATGAAATTCATTTAAACTTACATAATTATATTTTTAGCTACAACTCCATACCATGTGTTAAAATTAGAAGAACCAGTGAACATAACAAAATGTCATAGAGACAGTGGGCTGCTCGCATTGGCAAATGAAGACTTCTCAATTACTTTAGTTGATATAGACACTATGACAGTTGTTAGAAAATTCGAAGGGCATGTGGGGAAAATAAATGATATAGACTTTGACTGTCAAAGCCGGTAAGATTTCAATTTCTAAATAAACCAAAATTAACATAAAAAAGTGAAAAACAAAAACAAATCTATCCCACAGGAACTGTATATTTTTCTGGGATAAAAGTATGTATATTCCAGACTATAATCTATCTCTGTGCCAAATGTCTTCCAGATCCATTCAGCCATTCTGGCAAGATTGAGTAACAAACATCCATCCATCCGAATTTTTATCATAATAAGCACCTTTCTGTTGTTCCAGATGGCTGGTTTCTTCCTCAATGGATTGCACTATATGTACATGGGATATTCCAAGTGCTCAACTTGTTGATATATATTCTGTAAGTTACCTTATTTAAGATTATAATTTGCTAATCATTTACCTAGCTTATGTAAAGGTCTGTGATTAATAAATATTTTTATTAGTAATATGTAATAAATAAAAATCTTTATGGAGTTAGTGGTGTATGTTATGGTGTACAAAAATACACACAAAAAAAATATATAGTATGGTGGGAAAACTACCTTAAGTAAATCCAACTCACATTTAATTTTGTTTTGTCCTTAAATACTTTTTAATAGATAAAAAGTATAGTAGTAGGAAATAGTCATATGCTATTGTAGACTTTACTGTGGGTGTTTTTAAGACTTACAATTTTATATTCCATTGTTTTGATGTACCTATCACTTAAGGGTTAGCCAGTGTTTTGACGTCTCGATAGAACCAGTTATTGTGTTTTCCTGTGGGATTTTAAGATTTTCGTATAGTTAAAGGTATTCTAAATGTTGACTCAAATAATAAGTTATCAGTACACAACAATTTAGCTAAAATTGGTTCAGTACTTTTTACGTGAAACGTACACAGATGTACAGAAAAACAGACAAACTTTAAATAAGTATTGTTTCGGGTTCTATATATTCGGTACAAAAATAGGTTACAGTCATTGTTTTTAAGAAAAAAAAAACGTACAGATTTTGTTACAATTTTATAGATATATACGTCATACAGTATAGATATTTTTTATTTTCAACATAATTTTGAAGGGCTAAGAACTTTTAAAATATTTCTTGTTTTTTGAGTTGCGATATCCCATATTTTTAGTCTAGTATAATTTAGAAAGGTATAGTTAATAAAAATTACGGACAAGTGCGAGTCGGACTTGCATACCGAGGGTTCCGTACAAATTTGCAAGAAATCTGTTTAACTTTAATTTTCCACTTTTTTATTTTTTTGCAATTTTTTTGTGGTACTTCCGGTTGACCTAGAATAGTCAATTTTGGTTAAAAGCAAGGTCTTACAGCACATGCACAAGTAAAGGGAAAATTCCGAAAAATAAAAAAAATACTTGAAAATTAAGGTAAATTATGGTACTTACACTTACTTTTGGTTTTCGCGAAAATCTAAATTTGCCCATATCTTTTTATCGTGTTGACTCAGGACCTTGATTTTTATACACCTGATAGGGACTATAGATCTTAGTATCTGGTAAAACAACTTGCTAGGTCCACCCGTTCCTAAGAAAATCGGCGATGACACACGGATGGACAGACAGACAGACAGACGGACGAGAGAGTGATCTTATAAGGCTTGCTTTTTTTACCTTTTGAGGTACGGAACCATCATTAAATTGAACATCTTGATCTGATTTATTCATTTATTTTTTATGTAGAGAAATGTAATAGAAATTTCTTTAATTTTAAATATTTAAGTAGTTAAATATTTTAGTATATTTAATATTTATATAATTGTTATATTTATAGGTAGAAAAGCCATGTACGTCGCTCAGTATGTCTCCAACTGGTGATTTCTTAGCGACCACGCATGTCGGTGAATTGGGCGTGTTTTTGTGGGCCAATAGACTGTTATATGAAAAAATATTCCTGAAACCTATCGATAGACATGCTCTTGATATACCACAATTAAGTAAGTATACAGATGATGGTATTTATATTAAATCAGTTTTTGATTAATTTTAAAACAATCAAAATTACAAATTATTTGGTTAATGTTCATTATCTTTATATTAATCTGATTGTACAATCTCCCTAGTGGCTATTTTCGGAAGTAACGAAAGCAGTATGAAGTACCACTTATTTCAAAATATCTCTTGATAATTTGATGTATGATAGTAAATTTTCAAACAATTTAATAATTTCAGAACTACCAACAACAACTGCAGAGAAACCAGATATAGAAGATATTGGAACGATAGATATAGGCGAGCCCGAATACATATCGCCAGAACAAATAAGTGAAGAGCTTCTCACATTATCCGGCCAACCTACATCAAGATGGCTCAATTTACTTAATTTGGACATCGTTAAAAGAAGAAACAAACCAAAAACACCATTAACCGTACCTAAATCGGCGCCATTTTTCCTACCAACAATACCCAGTCTTGAATTTGAATTTGATCTGGAAAAGGACAAACAGAATAGTTCAGATCAAAAGCTATTGATACCAGAATCCTTATCCACATTAACACCATTTGCTAAAAAATTAAACAGTTGTGAACAAGATGGCGACTATAAAGAATGTATAGACAAATTAAAAAGTTTGGCGCCTTCTTCGATTGAAGCGGAAATAACAAGTATGGCGCCGGATGCAGGCGGAAATATAAATGTATTGAAGCAATTTTTAAAGTTGTTGGGGGTTTTATTGAAGTCGAATAAGGATTTTGAGTTGGCTCAATCGTATTTGAGTTTGTTTTTGAAAATACATTCAAAGACAATCACTGAAGATGAAGAATTAAGGACGTCATTAGATGTTGTAGAGGAAGTGGCGACGCAAGCGTGGACTAAGATGCAGAATCATTTGCTATATAACATCTGTGTTGTTAAAGCATTAAAAGATATGTAATATTATTCTGTTTGATTTGATTTTATTTGTTACTATTGGTCCCTTGATAGATTTATAAAAGGCTAATATTTCACAAGGATGATTTAATGTATGGAATATAAAGTGTGCATATCGTCGTCTCGGTATTTATTTTGTTCAAACGACCATTTACCGAGTCAATTTTTTGTTGAGTTTTTAATAAAGAAATATTGACTTTTAAATGTCAACTCTACTGGCACTAAATGCACATTTTACTTTTTCAAAGCTGAAAAAAATGTATTTAATCTATATACATATATAAATAAATTTTAGAAATAAAGCTTTATTTTTAAAATAGAGTAAAAAGCTCTTTACTGTAAAGTACAAGTATTGGTCGTTAGAACAAATAAGTACTAAGGCGACGTAATGTCTTATGGTGTCTCTTCACAATATAGTCATTTATATTAGTAGGTTTATTGGTTTGTTTGATTATTTAAACGCGTTGATCCGATTTCAAAAATTCTTTTTGCATTAGATATTGCCCGTTTATTGAGAAAGGCTATAAGCTATGTATCAAATAATATATAGTCTATATTTCATACTAACCGTTAAACCGTAGGTACCTAGGGAACAGGGCTCGGAACCGGTTAAAAAAACGGTTTATTACGGTAATGTAATGGTTAATTCATCGCTCGTTCTTTAACCGGTTAATGAAAACGAAAGGTTAAGTAAACCGAAATAATAATGGTTAATTAATTCATAAGTAAGAAGCGTGCATGCATCCTTATAAATACTAAGCCATACACCATTAGCAAAGGCGCCAAATGTAAACAAACAAAAACTCATTTTAACCGGTTAATTTTGTTCATGGAACCTAAATTCGTTGAAAACCATTCTTCCGCATTTAACCGGTTAAAGAACGTAACTGTAACCTTAAACCGAAAAGCCCTTCGGTTTGAGGTCAATGACCTAAAGCGGTTTAAAAATTGAACGTTTTTCCGAGCTCTGCCAGGGACAACCCGAGCGAAGCGAGGGTGAGTTGCTAGTTTATATAATATTACACAGATTTATTACGGCTTATGTTTTTATTTAAGACAATTTTTGTTTTCATATTCAATTATTATTCCATTCTCTTTCACCCAAGCCTATATTTGAATACATGAACTAAATAATTTATTCAATACATATTTTAGTACTCATAAATATGTACAGAAATTATATGTGTAGGTGGCCTGAGAAAAGGTAAAATAAAGTGTGCATACTTTGACGATTTCCCCCATTAGAATGTTTTGAAAATTCAAATATAACCATTTTATTCATGCTAGAAATGATACACACCTGTGACCTGCTAGAAATTAAATTATGCCTCCGAAAAAATTTTAGAAGACATAATTGCGTTATCCCAATCATCGGTATAAAGTTTAGATAAACCTTTGTTAATATTTGTACGAAAAAATTACAAAATTGAATTGGAACTCTCTTATCTGAAATTTGTTTCACGATCAATTTGAATCCTAATAGAAATTGCTGAAAGGCAGCTAAAACTAATTTAGACTCACTAAAGATAAAGATATACTTATTATTTTGAGTACAAGTAACATTAATGTGACATTCTATTTGTTGAATTTAGGGAATCCTTAGTAATATCGTTATCATCTATACTAATATTATAAAGAGGTAAAGTTTGTGATCTTGTGAGTTTGTGAGTTTGTGACGTTGTAGGGGGTAATCTCTGGATCTACTGAACCGATTTTCAAAATTCTTTTACCAATAGAAAGCCACGTTCTTTCTGAGTGTCATAGGCTATTTATTAACCCGAAAAATGAAAAGGTTTTTTCGTGGTAGTCGCATTTGCAAAGTAAGTCGGAGAAAAAACGGTCGAACGAAAACGTTTCTTACGAACGCTGCCTTAACGATGAGAGATATATGATTATGTTCTAGAGAAAAGTTGTAGAGCTTAATAATGCCTACAAAAAAGTCAGCGACAGCATATGTCTAACTTTTATATTTAAGTCACAAAAAGTAGTTTTTTATATTAAAAAAATAATTTAAATCGGTAGGTCATGTTTATTGGTCATATTATCAACAGTTATGAATTCTTATCAAAATAAGTAAATTTATCGTCTAAAATGTTTAAAATAAAAGACTTTTCCCTTTTACTGCATATAATTTGGACAAATGGTTAAAGAGATAATACAACATATTCGTATGTATAGACGAACCCGAGCGAGCTGTTTATCTGTTTTTCTCTTTGTACGGGCTAATCTCCGGATCTATTGGACCTATTTAAATGAAATTTTGCATGGTGGTACCTTATATGCCCGGGCAACATCTTAGATACTTTTCATCCTGGAAGATTAAAGGGTTCCCGTGGGATAGTTAAAAAACTATAACAACTTATACATCTTAGTACACAAAAACTACTGATTGGATTTTAATGAAACTTTACAATAATATAGTTCATACATCAGAATAACAAATAGGTAACTTTTTATCCCGGAAAAATGTACTTTTCCCGTGGGATAGATGTTTTTGTTTATTTGTAACGTATTATGTACACAACATAGACCCCATAGACCAAAACAATAGTTATTAAAAAAATTGTCTGTTTGTCTATTTGCCTGTATGTCTTTTTGTCTGTTTTTGTGTGCGCGTTTCACGCGAAAAGTAATTTACCAATTTCAACGAAATTTGGTGAAGTGATAACTTATTACTCGAGTCAACATTTAGGGTACCTTTTGTATGTATGTATGTATGTATGTATTTTGCATTCAGCCCTTTTTAACACACGCACGGGCCTCCCTTCAGTACGAGGTGGATCAGGCCATAGACCACCACGCTGGCCAATATCAGAGGTGCTAGACACGGGATTTGAACTTGCTTCACTCGGTTTCCCAAGCGAGCGCGTTACCATTGGGATACCACTGCCTAGATACGTTTTACTTAAAGAAAATCTTTCTTTCCCACGGGAAAATACAATAACTGGTTCTATCGAATTGTCCTTAGAAATTTATACGGCTAACCTTGGCTCAACCTTAAGAGATAGATCAAAACATTGTACAAGGAAATTGTAAGTCTTAAAAAGGTCTATAGAAAAGTTCTACATAGTATATGTCTATCTCCTAAGGTACACTCGCTATAACTATTTTCATTATTATATATTTCTGTTTTATTATACGTTATTTATTCTATCTGAGTACAGGTACATAATATATGAATAATAAAACTGTAGAGGTCGAATGTCTGTACATAGATGGTAGAAAAAATTGCTAAAAAACGAGTCAGTTCTCTTCTTACATCCCGTAAGGAAAGAAATAGAACAAATCCAGATTTTTTCAATTTTTTTGTTTCTCTGTCTGTTTGTCTGTTCGTACGGGCTAATCTCCGATACTATTGAACCTATTTAAATGAAATTCGATACTTTTCATTCCGGAAAATTAAAGAGTTCCCGTGGGATAGTTAAAAATTTATAGTAACTTATACAGCTCAGTACACAACAACTTACGCACCTAATTTAGTAAAATTTGGCATGCTGATACCTTATATTGCAGGTCAAACAACAGGTTACTTATTTTTATCCCGTAAAAATGAACGGTTCCCGTGGGATAGATCTGTTTGTGCTTTTCTAGAGGTGAACCCGAGCGAAGCGAGGGTGAGCCGCTAGTATAATATAAAAATGAATCGCTGAATGTGTTGGTAAGCGCAAATCTCGAGAGCAGCTGAACCGATTTCGCTAATTCTTTTTTAGAATATTCCTTGAAGTACCTGGATGGTTCTTACGGAGAGAAAAATTAAAAAAATTGCCTGAAAAAGTCTAAAAACAACACTTTTGTACTCCCATACTAAAGATTCGTCATAATACTTAAAAGTCAATTTGAACGTTAATACCATAAAATAAAGTTTAAGTGTTAGTAGAGCGGTTCCGGGTAGGCAAAACATTGATGGCAATTGAGTGACGTTAGAATCGTATCAATATTAATGTCAATATATATGTAGTGGACTGTATTTATTTTTCTTCCTTCGATGTAATAAAACACTTCTCGAGTATAACTTGCTTTTATTTTCCTTTACAATATTTGAACTGAAGAGAACACTTTATTCAACGGTAGTCAACTGAATACTGAATTCTGAACTGAATGATTTACATACAAAATGCCCTAATACTTATTCTAGCATTAACACTGGCAATAGGCATACTACTAAACGAGATAAGATAATTTCCTTAATTCTAATTGGTTGCTTTATACAATGCAAGAGGGGGGCATCTATTGCGCGTACATGATACTTTGCGTGCACATAGATTTGTTAGAGAGAGACGGACATATGCTACTATCGCCGTCGGGGGCGGTCGTGGTTCGTCGGGCCCGTCGTCACTCGTTGCTCGTCGTCCGTAACAGTTCTCCCCCCGGCGTAGCGCTGCGAGCCTCCTCTTTCACGAGCACGACGAGCTTCGTGACGGGACGCTTGAAGACTCCGGTCTTCGTCTGGATATCCGCTACTCGCACGCCGCCATCAGGTCCCCTGTAGATTTGCTTCACGATTCCCATAGGCCACACGTTGCGTGGCAGGATGTGGTCGACTATGACCACGACGTCTCCTTGCTGTAGCTGCTTGGTGTTGTTTGTCGGCTCGCCGCGAGGAACGAGAGTTGGTAGGTACTCTCGCACCCATCGCTGCCAGAAGTGGTCGGCGAGCGCCTGGCTGGCCCGCCAGGTGCGTCGATCGTCGTCGGTGCATGGCCCAGTGATGGGTAGGCCAGCAGATGATCCCAACAAGAAGTGGTTGGGTGTCAGTGCCTCCGGGTCGTCTGGACTCACGCTAACGTGAGTCAGGGGTCGGGCGTTGATAGAGTACTCCGCTTCGACCAGCAGAGTCCATAGTACTTCCTCCGTCGGCTCCTTTTCCTTTAAGGTGGAGGCTAGTGCGACTTTCACTGACCGCACCAGTCGTTCCCATGCGCCCCCTTGGTTCGGGGCATATGGAGGTATGTAGCGCCACTCCATACGATGAAGTAGGCCCTCTTCTTTCAGTGCTGGCGCCCACTCGGCGTAGGCGGCCCGTAGCTCGTTGTCGGCGCCTCGGAAATTCGTGGCGTTGTCTGAGTACATAGTGCTCGGCCATCCTCTTCTTGCTGCCATTCTTCGCAATGCCATGATCGCCGAACTCGTAGATAATGATGAAACGATCTCTAGGTGTACGGCGCGCGACGTGAGGCACGTAAACAACGCACCCCATCTCTTCTCTCGACGTCGTCCTATTTTGACCATCATAGGTCCGAAGTAATCCACCCCACAGTGAGTGAAAGGGCGGCGAAATGGTTCGAGGCGAGCGCGGGGCAGGTCTCCCATCGACGGGACCTGGGGCTTCGCTCTTCTTACTCTGCAGAGGGCGCACTCCCTTTCTATGGTGCGCACAGTAGGCCGTAGGTGTATAATCCAATATCGCTGCCTCAGATCGTTGGTCACACGCTCACGGTTAGCGTGACCCGCAGCGCAATGCTCTCGTAGCACTAGAAGCTTAGTAACGCGGTGGCGTCCGTCGAGGATGATGGGTCGCTTCACCTCGAGCGGTGCAGTGGCGGCTCCTATACGGCCTCGCACCCGCAATATTCCCTCCTCTAGCACTGGATCCAGCCGGAACAGTCGGCTCGCCTTGGGAAGAGGATGTGAGGCCTTCATCCGTAGCAGCTCTTCTTGAAAGCTGTCCTTTTGAGCGCGGCGTATGAGTGCGCGCTCGGCCTTTTCGATGTGTCGATGCTCCAGTCCCGTAGCCCGACGCCGACACTTGTCCACGAACACTAACACCCTCGCGGCTGCTCTGACCAGTGTCTCGAACTTGGAGAAGCGCGCAGGATCCGGCAACCACTCGTCACCCTGCTGGTCCTCTGTGGTCACGTGCAGTAGGACCTCCTCCTCTTCTGTCGATCGTTCATCGACCGGCCATAGTTCCTCTGGCTGACGTAGGAATTCTGGTCCCCGGAACCATCGGTCGTCACTGGTGATGCGAGTGTGCGCAAATCGTGTAGCGTCGTCAGCTACATTATCGCTGGTCGGGACCCATCGCCACTCTTCTGGTTGTGTCAGCTCGGCCAACTCTCCGAGCCGGTGCGCGACGAACGGTGTGTACCTCCGCGCGTCGTGCCGTATCCAATGAATGACAGTTGTGGAGTCGGTCCAGTACATTGTCCTCTGGACCTCCACACGATGCTCTTTCTTTATAGTTTCCGCCAGTCTGGCGCCGATGACTGCTGCTTGTAGCTCCAGGCGAGGTATCGTTTGTGTGCGCCTTGGAGCCACCTTCGCCTTGGCGGTCACGAGGCTTACGGTAATTGCTCCATTGGGTCGTGCGACCCGCCAATAAGCCACGGCTGAGTAGGCTTGCTCGCTGGCGTCACAAAATACATGTAGCTCCAGGCCCTGGTAACCCTCCAGGGCGTAGCAGCGTTCCAGTCGCAGACAGGTGAGGTCGGGTAACTGCCGCAGCCACGCTTCAAACATTTCGTTTTCTTCTGCAGGAATTGGTTCATCCCACTCCATCTTCATGCGCCAGAGACTCTGCAGGATGATTTTTGCTCTTATTGTATAGTGGCTGAGCAGTCCCAAGGGGTCATACAAAGACATGACTGCACTGAGCGCCTCTCGCTTGGTAGGCGGACGGGTCTGGGCGCGTACTTCCGCAGGAACTCGGTTCATTGAGGTATTGAACCCCAGCTCGTCCCGTTCGGCGTCCCGGTGCAGGCCAAGTATCTTGTTCTCGGGCCCGTCTCCTCCTAGTCGCGTCGGTGATGTCGCCCGCAGCTGCGTGGGCACGTCGCCAATCACTTCTTTTGCGTTGGCGTTCCATCCACGTAGGGTGAATCCAGCCGCTGCGTGCACCTCCCTGGTTTCCTGGATGGCGTGTGGAGCTTCTTCCGTGGTGTCGTAGCTCGCCACCAAATCGTCCATGTAGTGACTCCTCGTGATGGCTTCCAAGGCACGAGGATGCGTCTGCGCGTGCTCCTGCGCATTGTGATTTCGCACGTAGTGGGCCATGAAGGGTGAACTCGCTGCGCCAAAAATCATGCTCGTCATTTTGTAGTGGCGAGGTGGATTGTCTCGGTCGGCGCCCCTCCACAGGAACTGTTGTGCTGGTTGATCCTCCGGTCTAATCTTCACCTGGAGAAACATCTCCTGTATGTCAGCAGTGATGGCTACTGGTCGCTCCCTGAATCTGAACAGGATGCCTTGAAGCGACGTCAGTAGATCAGGTCCCTCCAGTAGGTAATCGTTGAGGCTGACCCCTCGGCTCTTGGCTGCTGCATCAAATACCAATCTTTGTCTCCCCGGCTTGTTTGGATTCTGCACGGCGAAGTGTGGTAGGTACCAACAGACCGGGCTCGAACGCTCCGTGCCGTTGCATGGCACAGCGTATCCTTTTGCAAGCAGGTTTTCTATCTGTTTGGTGTATTCTTTGGCGAAGGCAGGTGCGGCATCCATCTTCTGTTCTATCTTCGTAAGACGGCGAAGTGCTGCGTCGAAACTAGGCGGCATCTTAATGTCGTCTTGTTTCCAGGGCAATCCCACCTGGTATCCACCTTCGACCTTCTTTAAGGTTTGCTCGACGATCTTTGTTGCCCGGGAGTTCACCTCGCTCACCCGTGACTTGTGAGCGATGCCGAGCGCGTCGATCCGAAAATGTTCCTCCACCAGGTCATGAAGGCGTTGATCTTGCTGCTTCTTCAAGCCTCCACCAGGTTCGACAGTGAAGACATGAAGAACGCCATCCTGGTTATGGATTACGCTGCGTGGTGCTGTTCCATGTACCACCCAGCCGAGTTGTGTTCTAGAGGCGGCTGGTTGATTCGGGCCTCCAACTCGTAGTTCCCGGGATACAATATACTCCCAGTGGTCTGTCCCCACCAGGATGCCAGGGTGTGCCTGGTCGTAGCACACTTCCTCTCTTGGCAGATCTCGTAGGTGCTCTTGCTTCAGTAACGCGCTGGGAATGGACTGCTGGTGAAGCTTCATGTTTTTGATCGTTCGTGCTCGAAGCTTGTGTCTCTTTCCATCCTTCCCCTCCAGGTGTACCGTAACCAGCTGACTATCTTCCTCGTGCTGAGTCATGTTGACCCCGTGCATGTGAAGTGGTGTGAGAGGTCCCTTGGCGCCGATTTTCTTTGCCAGCTCCTCGTCGATGAGGGTGATGGTAGCCCCTTCGTCCAGTAGAGCATAGGTCTTCTCCTCCCCCCGTGGCCCGACGACGGTGACTGGGCACATCTTCAGAAGAACCGCTTGAGTTGACACAGTGGCTTTGGTTGCCACCGACAGCACGGCTTCGGTTTCATTTATCAAGGGTTTGGGTGTCTTCTCCTCTCGGTGCAGGGTCGGATGGTGTGGACTGCGACACTCGTTCACACCGCATAGCTTCGCTTTACAATTGCTGCGTCTGTGCTTCTTAGTTATGCACTTGAAGCATAACTTCTTTTCCTTCACCAGTTCCCATCGTTCATCTAGCGAGAGCCCTTTGTACTTGGGGCACTGTGGCAGTGCGTGAGTCTGCTCACAGCTAGGACATTGGCTGACTTGTTCCTCTTCAGCTTCAGTCACGTTATACACGGCGCTCATCCTCTTCCTCTGGTTCCCGGTGTTCATCGAGGGTCTGGTCTCCCTCCGGGTTGCAGCAGGTGTTGAGACGCTCATAGGTGGGGCATATGCATGCTTCAATGCCCGGTCTGCCTCGCGCATGAGAAAGCGAGACAGCACTACAATCTCTGGTTGTAGTGTAACTTCATGTTCCTCGGCGTAGTCACACCAGCGTGCTCTGATGTGTGGACTCAGTTTGTCCAAGACCTCTCTCGCAAGCATTGGGTTGTAGAGGTAGCCCTGGCGTCCGATGCTGTTCAGGATGCTGACTACGCTTTGAACCTTCACTGCAAAACTGTTCAGGTCTACTGCTGATGATCCGGGTCTCGGAAGCTTCTTTAATTCCAGGAAGGCTTGATCTATGATGACCTCAGGCCTTCCGAAGCACTGTTCGAGGGTCTTCATCACGACGTCAGGATCTGTAGCGGCATGTAACAGGCCGGCTACGACGTTTCTTGCTTCTCCCCGCAGGCAGCTCCTCAGTCTCTGCAGGTTCTCGTTCGCTGATATCTGGTATATCCTCGTAGAGTCTTGATAGGCTGCTCTGAACGACAGCCACTCGTTGGCTATTCCAGAAAAGATCGGTAGGTCAGCACATCTTATTCTGGGTCTAGCCATCTTCTCTAGGGCTTCAGCCAAATGCTCAATCCCTGGTTTCCTTCTGGTCGGAGTGGGTGATCTTCCTCTAACGTTGAACCGGAGGTGTTGTTCCCCTCCCCTCCTTCTCTGCTCCTCCTCCTCCCCCCGTGCACTGACGGGGTTGGTGCGGAGCCATGTGTCCACCTTCTGTTGGTGGTCGAGGTTCTCTTCATGCAGGCTCTCCTGCTCCTCTTGGATATTGGTGATGTCTGCAGCCAGTCGCTTTCTGACGAGTTCAGCTTCGATCTCCAATTCCTTCTTCCTCAGGGCTGCAAGCTTCTCTGCAGCTTCAAGTTCTGCCAGCCGTACTCTAGCAGCCACGCTTGCCGTCGATCGCACTGAATGCCCTGGTGACCTGGTTCGGGGTCGGTCTCCAGTCTTCAAGGGTCTGTAGGCAGCAGAGGTTGTGGGGGCAGAGGCGTCGTTCGTAGCCCCTAGCCCAACCTCCGTATCCATGGGCGTGGTTGGTGATGCTGGTGGATTCAGAGACAGTCTTCGTCTTCGCTCCAGTTCAATTTGTTCAGCTCCCTGGCTCCAATCTTCCACACGGGGTTGACCTTCCAGGTGTTGCTGTTCTTCCATGTGCTGCTGATCTTCCAAGCGTTGCTGTTCCCCTGGGCGGCGCAGATCCTCTGGGCGACGTAGATCCTCTGGGCGGCGCAGGTCCTCTGGGCGGCGCAGGTCTGGACGACGCTGATCTAGGCGGCGGGGGGTGCCAGGGCGGCGCGGCTCCTCTGAGCGGTGCGGCTCCTCTGGGCGGCGCTGGGCGTCCATCTCGGCAGCGTCTCCTTGGCTCCTGGTGATGACCATTCTTCAATACTGGATTAATCTTCTATCCGGCTCGAAGGACCAGCTTGTAGTGGACTGTATTTATTTTTCTTCCTTCGATGTAATAAAACACTTCTCGAGTATAACTTGCTTTTATTTTCCTTTACAATATTTGAACTGAAGAGAACACTTTATTCAACGGTAGTCAACTGAATACTGAATTCTGAACTGAATGATTTACATACAAAATGCCCTAATACTTATTCTAGCATTAACACTGGCAATAGGCATACTACTAAACGAGATAAGATAATTTCCTTAATTCTAATTGGTTGCTTTATACAATGCAAGAGGGGGGCATCTATTGCGCGTACATGATACTTTGCGTGCACATAGATTTGTTAGAGAGAGACGGACATATGCTACTATCGCCGTCGGGGGCGGTCGTGGTTCGTCGGGCCCGTTGTCACTCGTTGCTCGTCGTCCGTAACAATATATATATACATTATACATATACATATATAGTTAAATAAGTGTCTTATATTATATGTAACTTTGTATGTATGTTTATTTATATGTACGTTAAGTAATGTACACTTTTATGTACCATTTTGCTGTGCAATAAAGTGTCTAAAATATAATAAAATAAAATAACCGCTTCCTTTATTAAAATAGGATATTACTTATTAGCAAAAAGTTTATAAAAATGTTAGCCTTAAGTACAGATCTACATACATATATTGTTATGTACCCACCTGCCTATTTTTACATTGCCTGCTATAAGCTATTAATGTACCATAAATGCGTCGGTCGTATGAAATTGCATCTTCAATTAGTAGTAGTAAACCGGCTTTACTCAGTAGAATTATAGAAAAAAGCGATATAAAATTTCAATTAGGTATTACGAAATAAAAAAATGCTACATTAGTATTATGATTTCTGTACATAGATTTATTTAGAGTTAGACGGTAGAACGACTTCGTGAAATGGAACGTATGTCTCATTGTGGCACACTGTGACACATATCTGATTGCTGCGACTTGTCACATTAAGTACCTGTACACTTTTAGGCCAGAAGTGTCAGCAACAATCAGAATTTTAAAAGAGCGCGGTCTGCTTTTATATTCTATTTTAAAACCAGCTACTGCTAGGCGATTAAGCAGACGAAAATATTTAAAACCCAATATTGTATTTAATTTAATATATAAATACCTCGTGTCACGGTGTTTGTGGTAGGACTCCTTCGAAACGGCTCGAGCGATTTTAATGATTTTTTTGTATATTTGGTAGGTATGAGAATAGGTCGTAAAGTATTTTTCACCCTTCTACCCCTACTCCCCATTTATTAATCACGTTTTTAGTATTTTATATACATAACATAAAGCCAAAGAGTTTTTTTTTGTAGATCGAATGCGGGAGTAGCCGCGGGTTCTGCTAGTATTTTATAAAATTTGACATCCGCGAACTTTGTGTGAGTGAGGTAAATGTGTGTTTGGTGTTACGCTGTAATGACCCAATGGATTTGACTGAAATCCGGAATGGAAATGATATTCTGAATTCCGGTTACCATTAGCGTCCGGTAATCCAGCCGGGCGTAAAGCCAAAAAACGCGTGAGCAGAGTACAATGCGACAAGACATAACCTATGGTTATATGGCACGACCACCGGTAAATAGGTACTAATATATGCAGAGATTACTTATTATACGCAGAGATTTCTTAATAAATGTTTTTGTCTGTCAACAAAATTTTATTTAGGGATTAGAAGAACCCCAATTATTTCCTGAAAGGACCGCGGCTCGTGTGACGAAATGGGGGTAGTAAGTACTGAATAAGTGAATACCATAATTAGATAAGTACTAAATATTCTTCTGGAAACTTAAAACTGTTTTGTTAAATCGCAACTATTTCAAACAACATAGTATTCCATTTTTTAACTGCTATCGCGATTACTGCGTTTATCTTTACAACAGACGCTCTTTGAGGCGCTTATTGAATATTTTTCGAAGTGAATTAAGTCGTGGCCGATAGCTCTAAAGCCGGCGTTCATTAATGGTAGTCTCATTTTCGCAATAAGTATTCATTTCTACGGCAGAGGGGAGACGTTTGCAATGAAAATCTGATTGCGCTTCCTTTGCGTTATGATTGTACCTACCTATCAATTTCCTCAGTCCCTTTATTGAGGAAGGATGGAGTGGTGAGTCAATGTTTACCTTATACTTTCATTACTACGCAGTGATAAAAGTATTGCGTAAATATTTATTTTATAGGTACCCTATAATTTTATTGTTTTCGCTAAAAAATATATTTTCATTATGTTAATAAAAAGAGTTGTTTATAAATCTTTCACTTCAATTTTAATTACATTTTCTAAAGAAGAAGTTTTATATCTGCCAATAAATATTCATAAAAGCATACATTTTAATTAATTAGCACTATAAAAATAACAGCATAATTATTTCAATACAGCTTCTGCACTGAATTTTAAGCATTCTGCTATGAATATCCCCTTAGATAATTCGTATTATATACAGTCCTTTTTAACGTCCCACTGCTGGGCAAGGGTATCCCTTCAATATAAGGGAGATCAGGCCATAGTCCACCACGCTGGCCAAGTGCGGGATGGCGGACTTCACATATCATTCGAAAACTTGTTAGGTTTTCTCAGACACACAGGTTTCCTCAGGATGTTTTCCTTCACCGTAAGACAAGTGGTAATCATGTTGAAAATAATTCGCACATTTTAAATATCAGAGGTGCGAGACCCGAGATTTGAACCCGCTTCACTCGGTTTTCCAAGCGAGCTCGTTACCATTGGGCTACTACTGCCTATTCGTATCGCGTATACACTATACATATTTAATAATTTCATTTATTTCTACGTAAATGAATACTACGGTATCATTTTCTATTACCGATCTCAATTCCGAGCCATTTAACTTTTCCAGTGCAAAGTAGACTTTATAAAGTGGATCTTATGACCGCGAGACCATTTCGCGGTCAGTTATGTCCACTGGGATTACCGTTCAATATTAAATAGACGCTTATCGCACCCCGCTTAGTATGAAGTGGATTAAATTCTTTTAATAACTATTGTATTTAAATTTTTAGACGTATATAAGTCATGGTACATACTTTAAATGCGCTGTAGTTTTTTTCTAATTACAATGAAATGAAAGAGGAGAAGTAAAAATTAAATGTGAACATTTTAAACATGCAAATTTCAAGCTTTTAGCTGCGATGTTGTTTGCGACATATTGCATTTGAGAGCTGAACAAAATAGTAGAAATAAAAATATATTTTGCTTCTTTGTTAGCTACTACACTTTCTTACATAACTTAAGTTATAAATGTTCTTTCATGTTCCAATAACGGTATTTTTTACGTTCCCCCTCAACGTGCGTTCACCTTGTCGTGGTGGGGGGGCTCAGTAGTGCCCGGCAATCCAGCCGGGCGCGAAGCCAAGAAACGCATAGGGAGGTGACCCACTTCGGTGGGAGGTGGCCCTCTTCGGAGGGCGGTGTACCATGCGGGTTGCTCTTGGTACTTCTCTGATAGCAGAGTGGACTTTGGAGCAACCCCATAGTTTTTGTGGTCTGCTTTGGCAGACCTGCCGTCGGGGCGTCGTAGTTGAATGCGTAATCGATCCTGCGACGCCCCATTAAGACGGGGGAAGGTTTTGTTGGGTTTTAGTGAGTAGTACTGGCTTTGCCGATGAGTTCCACACCTCGTGCGTAAATGCATTTCCCAACGTTAAAAAAAATAAAAAAATACGGTAATTTTTACTTTCTTTGAAAATTCTTTAATTACTAAAATAAGGTATCTTTATAATATTCCAAAGAACCATTTATTAGTCGTAATAGGTATATAACAGGAGAATACGGTAATTTATTATATGAAGAGTATTAATTATTTTAAGTTGACTTGTTTAATACTTCAAGAGTCAACTCAGTGGTTGCTTGTATGTGACCAAGATGAAGCTGTGGTGCGACCAAGTTTTAATTCAATATCAAACAAGGACGACACCAAATTGGCTGATATAGGGTCGGTACCTACTATTTATCTGTGCTGTGATAAAAAAGAAAACCTAACACACATTTTGAATCCAGTAGATTGCCTTCTATTATAATAATAATAATAGTCATCAATAGTTCACAGAGCAATTGTGGCGAGCTGTAAATTGCGACACGGACTTGAGTCCTCCAGTAGTAAACAACATTTCTCTGATCTCAGTGGATCTAGAGTGCAGCGCAAGTAAATGTGAAACCAGTTTAAAAGCTACCTTGCGATGGTAAAACTTGGTGCTCATCTTAGCCGATCACGCTGATGTAGCGAAAGAAGCCGTTAGCTATTTTGTAAGGACCCATAAAGTGGGAGTTGAATCACTTGCCTGGTGCCTGTCTAGCTACAGTGTTGAGTCTGTTGAGAAGGCGGCCGTTCGCTTATTTTAACTAATAATTCTTTTTTGTAGCCAATACAGACTAGGGGTTTCTATATTTCTATGGGTTACTTAGAAATCGAGCCCGGTTTCATATTAAACAAATTTAAATTTCTTTAGAGGCCTTTACGTGTTGGCTCTGTGTTTCCATGCAAACCTTCCAAAAGGCGCTCCTTTGAAACCGAGAATACAAAATATTAATCATTTTACTATATCGCTTTGTTTTCAATACAATTTTAAGATTATTATAGGTATAGGGTTTGATTTTGTAATAAAACAGTTATTGTTTATAGGTAGGAGGTATTCCGTATAAGCTTAGCCGTACCTATTTATTTATCATATCAATTTTGTGCATCATCAATAGGCATAAATTAGTTCAAACATTGCAATTTTTTAAAAAACAATTTAACAAAACGCGTTCAATTTGTTGGTTTACTCTTATAGATTTTATACAAAACTGTGTTTTTAGTAGCAATATTTACTTGTTCAATTAGAGTTATTTTATTATAGAGACTTATGAGTTCCATCAAAATAACTGCATGAAATATTGTCAATGAAATAATAAATCTATATTACAATCATGTCATAAAAAGCTCATATAGTTAC